GGAGCATTGCTTGAACTGGGAGGTGGAGGTTGCAGTGAGCCAAGATTGTGCTGTTGTACTTCAACCTGGGCGACAGGGCAAGACCCCATGTCCAAAAATGAAAAAGAAAAAAAAAAGTGAAATGGAGTCTGCGTTAGAACTCTCTAGATTTAGTGATGCAAGTCTATCTCAAGTTAGTGCAAGTGAAACATGAGATTTTATTGTGTATGTAATTGGCAAATCCAGGCTATCTTCAGGCATAAGTGGACTAGAGGCTTCACAGTGTTACCAGGCCTCTTCCTCTCTCCGCATCTCTGGGCTCTGGGCTGTTTATAACACTTTCAGACAGGTGCTTTCTATGTGGGTTCAAGTGACAGCTGGCGTTTCCAAACTTTAATCATCCTCATGGCGGCTGATCTCAGAGAAAAGAAGAGCAGCTCTTTCTCCTCCAGCCTCAGATCATTCAAATAACTCTGGCCTTGCTTGGGTTACTTGTCTGTCCAAGTTCATTAATCATGGTTTCCAAATGGTTGAGATATCTGACTGGACAGCCTAAGTCAACAGGACGGCAGGCTGAATTTGAGAGCCCCACCAATCACATGGAGTGATGGGGGAGCCATTTCCAAATGAAAAAAAAAAAAAAAAAAACAAAACAAAAAAAAAACTAGACCGACAAAAAAATTTAACGCATGTCCACCACTAAGGGATTAGATAGGAGAATGACTTAGATGCATGGGAAAGAATAAAGAAATAAATTCAGTGAAAAGAAGCCAAGAGGAAGAGATTAGCATATAAGGTAATAATTCTAAGTGTTTCTATGGAAGAAACAAGAATCGCTATTTTCAGATAAGACTCTATACTGTTATACACTATTAAAAGGAAAAAGTGGTTCATCATGGGTACAAGATAAATGTATAAAATAGTAATCATATGATAATTTCTTGCCCAGTGCCAGATATATATGATAAAATGATGAAACTTCATTGAAAATTATAGTAAAAGATTTAAAGAAATGGAGGAATATACTACCTTCTCCTAGGGAAAGACTGACATTTTGTTGAGATACCATTTTTCTTTAAGGCATTTTATCGAATTGGTGCAATGCTCATTAAAATTATAGTATTTCATTTGTGGAATTTACTAAAATTATTCTAATGAAAATAAATGAAATTGAGTAGTAAGAAAATGAAAATTTAACATATTATGATTGCTTGAAAAATTTCATACAGTCACATATTGGAAAAATGTATGAGTGAGGCAGTGAATGTTAAGTCCTTAACGTGGTACATAATTGTCTAAAATGGAGACTATTTTTATTTTATTTTCCTCCCCTCCTCTTCCCTTCTTCCTTCTTCTTTAATCTTTATTTTTCCTCATTTTTTCCTCCTCTCTTCTCCTCCTGTTCTTCCTTCTCCTTGTTTGTTCTCTGCTATGCTCTGAGGACGGAGTAGAGAATAAGACATTAAGGAAAATAATGTAAAATCAATTACTGACCCTCAAGTGCACATCTCTCCTGAGCTGATAATTTCATCTTAACAAAATTTATAGAGCACCACATTGTCATGAGAAGACTGAAGAATGAAAGCCATATGGTTAGCATCTAGGGTTTGAATTTATTAAGGAATGGAAGAAAACATATACGTATATACACACTTTGACCTCCCAGCCTCTCTTCTGCTGTGTTGCTTTTTTTATTCTTCCTGAGTTCTGATGGACGGTGAACTGGGGTAAATACGTATTGAGAAATGTCAGATGAGCTTCCCTCAAACCTGGTGTTACAGGAAATCGGTCCTGAGCCAGATCCCAGGAATCGGTTCTTGGATTTCATGCAAGAAAGAATTCAGGGCAAGTCCATAGAGTAAAGTGAAAGCAAGTTTGCTAGGAAAGTAAAGGAGTAAAAGAACGGCTACTCCACAGATAGAGCAGCCCTGAAGGCTGCTGGTTGCCCACTGTTATGGTTATTTCTTCATTATATGCTAAACAAGGGGTGGATTATTCATGCCTCCCCTTTTTAGACCGGATAGAGTAAAGGCCTGATGTTGCCATGGCATTTGTAAACTGTCATGGAGCTGGTGGGAGTGCAGCAGTGAGGACGACCCAGAGGTCACTCTCCTCGCCATCTTGGTTTTGGTGGATTTTGGACAGCTTCTTAACTGCAGGATGTTTTATCAGCAAGGTCTTTGTGACCCGTATCTTTTGCCAATGTCCTGTCTCATCCTGTGACTTAAAATGCCTTAACCATCTGGGAATGCAGCCCACTAGGTTTCAGCCTCATTTTACTGATTCCCTACTCAAGATGGAGTTGGTCTGGTTCAGTGCCTCTGACACTAGCAATGGGTTAGGTATAGGACAATGAGGCCTCTGTGCAGGAAGCCATGTTGCCATTCCAGGTATATTCAGACACCCTTGCAGAAAGTGACATCAGGAGTGTGCCACTCTTGAATGTCCCCCAACATAAATGCCCTTTCCTATGGAATATTCCCAAGAAGTGATATTCTGGAAGATCTGACAAGTGATGAGGCATGGAAGCTTTTTTCTGTGTGGCTCGGTGGTGTCCTCTTGTTTGAATTTGCAGTTCATGTCAATCTTAATATTTGTTTTGAGTCACATATGCCAGTCTCTAATTTGCAATTTACATGGATGATGGGGCCCTATTCAAAGTCCTGCTCCTGCCGCCTTTGTGCCTTTCACCTCTCTTCATGCAGTCATTAGGCTGAACAGCATATAATTAGGTAACCCATGTAAAGCTTAGATTTCTGAAAGGTTTTGGTTCTTTTAAAAAAGTAAGGGTTTCCATTTTTATTCTCATTCTTTTCTAAACAAAAAGACATTTCCCCCCTGTGGTTTTCATATGAATGTAGTAACTTAGAAACAGTTAGTCTTGTAGGTGGGTAACAATTTGGGTTTGTTTTCACCTGAGAGCTGGTTTTTGTTTACACAGCTTGTATTTAACTCAGCGTAGGATGAGATTGATTTACCAACATTTGTGGATGAGTGTGTTGCTTTTGGAAGCCAATGGAATTGGCCTGTTTAAAAAATCGCTAAAGATTTAAAATCCACCCAACAAAATAAGTCAGATTCCAGCTTATTTTTATGTTTCTTTTACTACCTGTATGCATAAAACCTACCTGAAATGACTTGTTAACGTGAAACTTCTGAAAATATAAATATGGAAGAAAACAGATGTTCCTTTTAAAATTATACTAATTGTGTTTCAGCTGTGTTCACTTGTCAGACAGATTCATGATTATAAATGTAGTTTAAAAAATAGTCTTGGTGGTGAAGCAAATGTAAGCTCATAAAAGAGTAAATAGAAGTGTATATAAATATTTCATTGAAATAAAATAACACAATGCACAGAGAACCTGTTGAAGTATTAATGCATTGTCACTTCTTACAGTTGATCTTATTTTTAAATAGAGTAAGAAAGGGTGAACTTTTTAATTCTTCTAGGTTGAAAGGAAACTAACAAGATATATTAATATTACCCAGAATACTGGTTTATAGCAGTCAACTAGGGAATTCATTAAAATCAGATTTTTGGGGCCATCTATCAAAATTCTGTTACAGAGGATTGTGGACCTCAGGAATCTAAATCTTAAATAAGTACCCCTAAATGATGCTATTGCAGAAAAGTTGCAGGTGGCATTGGAAATATTTGTACGCAATGTAACTAATTGTGCATTTTGTACAGATGTCCAGTGATACATTTTTGTGATCTAACTTCCTATGCTCTGAAAAAATGAAGGTGGGATTTAAGAATGTCCATGACTGTACACTTTGCATTGTGACCTTAATAGAATATATTTTAATTGCCAGCTAGTCCCTGGGGATATTGTGAAAAGAACCACATCTGGCAAATACTGCTTCAGCTCAAGACAAATCTCAAGAAATAGAGAAATGGGCTCACCAGTGAAACATGGACCATCAGATATTATGCCAATTCAATTGTTGTCTCTCTTTCCGTTTGTCAGTCAAGTTAATCTAAATGATGAATGTGATTTTAACTACATTTGGCAAAATTTATGTGTTTTTAAATCTCTACTTACTGGACTTTGGCTTTGTGTCTAACACACATTGAGAAGACTGTTCCTCAGTGTAATTGTTTTTATTTTGGGAGGCTCAAGGCATTGCAATGATATTTATTGGGTGATAAAGCTATCAGTACCTTAGATCTCCTAGGCAAGGGCCTTTGAAGAGAACAGCATTTGAAGGGAGAGAAGAGTGTAGCTGAAACGGGAAATGCTAGAGAGCTACAGAGCTTCCCCACCCACCATCCCCAAGGAAGTAATTTGCAATATTCTTGTGCTTGGGCTTATTTTGCCTCTAGTGGGGCTTGAGACTTTGTGATGGGTGGGTTGAAGTTCTTGATGAGGATATTCTGCTTATGAATATAAATGTACACACAGATACAAAGACATGCTCATAAAGTGGTAAATAGAAAAACTCTTTCAGATTAGTTTTGTGTCCTGATCTTAGTCTTATTTTTTAGGTAGCATAAATTCAACTCAAGTTGTTTGTTTTTTTTTTTTTTTTTGAGACGAAGTCCCACTCTGTTGCCCAGGCTGGAGTGCAGTGGTGCTATCTCGGTTCATTGCAACCACCTCTGCCTCCTGGGTTCAAGCAATTCTCCTGCCTCAGCCTCCTGAGTAGCTAGGTTTATAGGTGCCTACCACCATGCCCAGATAATTTTTGTATTTTTAGTAGATATGGGTTTTTGCCATGTTGGCCAGGCTGGTCTCGAGCTCCTGACCTCAGGCGATCTGCCCACTGCAGGCTCCCAAAGTGCTGGGATTACAGATGTGAGCCACCGCCTGGCCCAAATATGATAATATCAGTGAGACATAGGTATAGTATAAAGAATTAATATACCTATACAAATAGATGCACAAAAACAACCTAAGGTCAGTAGGCTCTCTCAGCTATTATGATGAGAATAAACAATGTTGTGAACACTAAGGCTAGTAGCTATGTGAAATTACTAATGTATTTGTTTTTTAACCAAAACTGTCTCTGATCAGATTTCTTACAGGAAAGACGTGCAAGACACCCACATGTACAATGCAGAGCTCGACCGACCAGACATCAAGATGGCAACCCAGATCTCTAAGATAATAAGCAATGTAATTTCTCTTTCTTAACCTTGAACAGAAATAATTTCTTACTTTTTGTAGGTGGCAAAGCATAGCTTCAGTGGTTGGATGTTTAATTTAATTAGCTAATAACTAATCAATGTAAAAGAGTAAATCTCAAATTATTCATTTGATTATGCTAATTATTTGTGTATGCGCCGAAACAGGCCAAGCTCAAATTGGCTGTGGCTAGTGTAATCATACTTTCAGAGAAATAAATACTATTTAGGTATAAGTTGACATTCTGATCTCTCAGCCCGAAAGTCAAGGTTATCAGTCATGTGGTTTTGTATAATCTCTCCCTTCACCTTGCTCCAAAGACTTTTTTTGGCCTTGTTTCCATATTGCTGCTGTTAATTGTGTAGGTTCTCTTTCACCAACACTTACCTTTGCCTACTTCCCACATGGGTTAACTATTTGTTATCTTCTCTAAGGTGCCCACTTTAGTTAATACCGCTTTACTTGAACATACTGAAAACCCTGGTTAAAAATGAAAATTTAACTTGAACGAAAAATTTTAATAACATGGACTAAAAATCAGTCATTACCGTATTCAACTGCGTGTCAGTCAAATACAGCCAGAACAGTTACCGAGAATAAATGAAACGATAAGAGCTGCCTATATGGAGAGTACCGGATCTCAGTTCCCCATAAAATTTCCCTAATATTTTAGTATTTATACATAATTACAAAGATGATGACGAATACTTACCCTCATAATTAGTAATTATTTTACTGCAAAAAGCCGAGCTTATGTAAGCATGGGATAAAATCAATGACTGCTTTAGCAGTCAACATTTTAGTGTTTGATATGTTGTAAGGAATATTTTTTAATGGAATGAGGTCTATTATATTTTATTTTGGCTAATGTCAATGTACGGTAATCATTGGAGGGTAGAAATATTTAACATTGTCGTATTTATTCATTTTAGGCAGAATACAAGAAAGGACAAGGAATGATGAATAAAGAGCCTGCTGTAATTGGAAGACCAGATTTTGAACATGCCGTAGAAGCTTCTAAACTTTCTAGTCAAGTAAGGCTCTCGTGATGATTCCACAATGACTTTATTCAGAGATTTTGTTTCTAGCAGCACAGGAAAATATTTTATTTTAGATAATATCTTTAATTGCAAGGATAAACAGAGATAATGTTTCTGAACCTATTTCAGATGTGCTTGCAATAATTATGAATTTCAGTAAGGGAAAAATTATGCCTGATTTTAAGCATAAAACAAAGTTTTCTTTTCTCCAGGCATAAATCTGAACATTTTTCAATGAGTTTAGCCATGTGGTCACATTTCCCTGGATTTCCAGAAGTCATCAATACTAAATAATTGTGTTTTAATCTGCACACACACACACACACACTCACACACACAGAGTTAACATAGTAATAAAAATATTAATGTTTCCCAATTTTCAAATGCTTTTGTTTAGTCTCAAAATTTAAAAGGGGAGATGAAAATGAAGAAAACTTTGAAATCTTGTTGAAGAACATAAAATAAGATCTGAAAAAGTATAAAGGCATTTTATGGTTTTGGCCGAAAGTCTCAATAGATAAAAGTGTCAGTTCTTTCAGAACTATCATATAAATGTCATGCCACTTCTATTAGAATCCAACAGGTTTTTTAAAAAAATTATGGATAAAATGATCTTAAAGATTGTGTGGAAAGAACATACCAGTGAATAGCCTTTAAAAGTATGAAAATGAAGACCAGTGAAGGGGAACTGAAGTTATGAGTTACTATAAGTTAATAGAAAACCACTGAAATTAAATCAATATGGGATTGATGTAGGGAGAGATTAAATAATCAGTAGGATAGAATAGGGAGTCCTGAAATGGATTCCAGTATGTATAAGAATGTAATGTATTATAAAAGTGTCGATTCAAGTCAGTGGGGAGAAGTTGGATCAGCTAATAAATGGTGCTGACATAACGCGCCTTCCATCACGGGAAGAGCAAAATTGGGCCCAAATCTTAAACCATATATAAAAATGAATTCCAGGTGGATTAAAAATGTGAATGCAAACAATAAAATAATTTAAAAATTTTAAAAGAAAATCCAGGAGACTCTATATACCACATAGGGATAACAAAGTTGTTCTTAAGGCCAGAAATCCAGAAGCTATTAAAGGTAGGCATATTGACTATATAAAAATGAAAAACTTTCTTAATGAAAAAGGTAATATTTGCAGAGTCAACAATAATGTTAACAAACAGTATTTTTCACACATTTTTAGTAGTTTTGACTTTGAAAATACTCATTTCTCAAGTTGCAGAAGTCTTACTTGAATTACATTTCAAAGTGGAGAGTTGTAAATGATGAAAAGTATAAAATCTGATTGAAGAACATAAAACAAATCTCAAACGAATGAAAAGACATACTATTCTGCTGGTGAAAGAGCCTTGATACTAAATATCATGAAAATGTTTATTTCAAAGTTAATGTTAAAAACTTTGTACAATTCCAATTAGAATCCAAAAAAGGGTTTAAAAAATTTAAATGGACTGAAAAACTTGAATAAATTAAAAAATTCACAGTTTATACAGAGAAGGATGTATCTGAGAATAGTTTTTTAAAATATAAAAAAAGAGCAGTGGTCTTCAGATATTTGGAAAAGTACTTGTAATGCGTTTGATGAGAACATTTTTATATTTTAAATATATAATATGTGATATCTGTAATATATAAAAGTTCTTTAAAAGGAATTTATTTTTATATATAGTTCAAGATTTGGGTCCAATTTTGTTTTACCATGAATGGAAAAGATTAACAGCCTAGTAGAAGAAGGGTAAGTGAAATGAATAGATAATTCACAGAAGAGCAAACATAGATGGCCAATCAACAGGTGAAAAGATGCTCAAATTTATTAGTAGAAAGAGAAATACCAACAAGTGAAAGCAAAATGTATTGTACACCCACTTACACCCGTCAAATGCTGTGTCGTGTTAGTGTGGAGGAGAAAGACATGTCATTAGAAAGTTCATGTGTAGGAGGTACATTTTAGCTAATTTGTATTTAAAGGGAGAAGTAAGCTCTGCTCAACGGGAAAGCCCCAAATAGAGGTTGGAAATGAACATACCAGGGGACAGAAATCTGATGGCAGAGGCTCTGAACAAGAGGATATAGTTGTGCACATAACCTGGAATTTGGGAGGAGCTTAGATATCGTGTAATGATGGATAGGCCAATGTGTATTAACTTCAACTATAAGCCGTTGCTTAGAGAACAGAGTAGGAATAATATGTTTATATGTACAATTTTCCCCATTTAAAAAATCATGATAAAATATATATAACATAAAATTTACTATCGGAACCATTTTTAAGTGTGCAGTTCAGTGGCGTTAAATGCATTTATAATGTGCTACCCTCACCACCATCCATCTCCAGGACTCTTTTCATCCTGTAAAAGTGAAACTCTATACCCTTTAAATAATAACAGCCCATCGCCCCCTTCCCGGAATAATGTGTGCTATGAAAAAATAATGATAAAAAGAAAAAGTGATTTCAGAACACAATCATGGGAAGCATTTTAGGGTTGAATTCCAAAAAGTAAACATCAGAACTACTTTTTGCCATGTTAACTGTAGTCTCTCAGGGAAGGAAGAAGTCATCACTGAAGATTTTGAGCAAAGACTGATTGTGAAGAAAATACTTAGGGAAGGTTAATGCGGCGACACTGGGCAGGAAAGCCTGGCTCACAAGTGGTGAACATCCCAGAGGCCAGCTGGGCTGTGGCAGTGGTACGTAAGGTGATATGTACCTGAATAGACTCTCTGGCTGTGGGAATGAAAATGAGGCAGACACAGCTGCTCCCTGGGAGAGGCAGGCATGAGAGATGCTCAAATGCAATTGTGCCTCAAAGTAATTGTCTTACAGTTAATAAGGGACTTTAATTTATAAAGCAACTTTATAGCTCAGGAGGCTACTGATGTGTAAGTGATTAGGGACACGTCTGGGTGACACTCTCATGAAAGGGCTGTGACTCTAAGCTCTACGTATTCCCAGTAATACTTGTCGAAGAGGCAGGGGATATGGGCGTCACTTTAGATTTCCAGTATAGCTACCTGGCCTCTTACAACTTCACCCTTTTTTGGGAACAAAGACTCCTTATCAGTTGCACAGGGGAGAAAGCAAATTCTGGAGAAGCAGTACGGTTTGGTCTAGTGATTAAGAAAATGTACCCTGCAGCAGGGCCCTACCTGTGTTAAACTCCTGGTTTTGTTGATTGCTGGCAGAGTGACCTTGGACAAATTGCCTCAATTCTCTATTTTGGTTTCCTTATCTGTAAAATGGCGATGACAGCAACAGTATCTACTTCTCAGGGTTGCTGTGAAGGTTAAATGAGTTGCTGTGAGTAAAACACTTAAAGTGGTGCCTGGCCCATAGAAACATGACATAATTTCATAGGAATAATTTTACTTTAGATATTCAAAATAGTTTTCTATTCTACATTCTTAGATGAATTCATGCACAGAATGGAGCAGGAATATGAACACTGTTTGTGAGAGTCTGCCCTTAAATTCATTCCATCACAATCCTATTTGAGAGTCCTTAGAAGAAAGTTTTGACATTTGAGGTTTTATCTTTACATTTCAAATTCAATCTACAAAAATTCCTCTGCTTGATCTCTACTTGGTCTTGAAGGCAGAGTTTTTTTTTCTTCAATCTCAAATTATTAGGTAACTGAGTGATCAGATGCTTAAGCAGATTGTAATTTGCAAGTTACATTATAGCTATCTTGTTTATTTTTTCATGTCATGTAAGATTTTGTAAGCTCTATAAACTCATCAGAAAAGAGGAAAGCTGGGAAAATGAATAATGGGAATTCTGGAATGAACTCAGTATATTCCATTTGTATTTTCAGGGTATATCACTTATAAAAGAAATTCAGGCAGAAAGTTTAGTTTCTTATTTTAATTGATAGCATTAAAGTTTTTAGCTTGCTCCTAAACTAATGACAAAGGTGCATAAATACATAGAAGGCAAATGATTGGGGGATTTAATAAGCAGAGAGATGGGGATGGATAGAATGCAGGGAGGAAAAGAGAGCACCAGAAGCATTGTGATAGCGAAGGCAATGACAAGGCAATGTTCAAGGTATGCAGGGATAAGACCTATCTGATGAAAAGATGGGAACAGCGAGCGAATGGGCAGGATTCTCATATTTTATCTGTAAATTGAACTCTGTGGGATTTTTACCCAGAGAATACCAAACCCTTCTTATGTTAACTTCTACAATAGTTTTGCTACCATAGTTGTAAGCTTTCCCTTTTTGAAATTTGGAATATACATAAAATTATGGCCAGGTTATTTAAAAAAATCTATAAAAAAACTAAAGCAAAAATCTCCAGTGCCAAGATGACGGGATTGGTACATAGGTAATTCAAATGTGAGTACAGTAACTGTTGAATTTACTGACTTAAACAATTCTAAGAATAGTTAATTCATTAATATATCCGTTGGTCACCCTATTACTTGGAATTTGTCTGCATGAAGAATAGATTCCTTGTTTGGTTTTATAACCTTAAGGAAAAGCTATGTATTTATAATAAGTAGCATTGTTCTAAAATTGCATTAATACATTGATAAGAGTCGGTTTTAATCCTAAAAATCACATTATAAATTGCCATGAAAATTTAGTAATAAGCAGTGACCTTAAATTGCAAGGGGTATTAATTGGTTTGGAGAATCTGCTGTTCTCCCTTCCTGGCAAGCACTCCCTCCACCAACCACCTCACATCCAAGTATCAGCTCAAATGTCATGTTCCTGACTCGTTGCTCTCCTCCCCTTTATTCTCTGCTCTTCTTTACAGCTCTTGACACAATTTGTAGTAGTTGTGTGATATATACATACATGTGTGTGTTTTAGAAATCTATTTCACTTCCCACAAGGCAGGCTCTATGGAGACAGGGCTCATATGCTTTTGATCCACTATTAAGGGAAAACACAGATGAGGCTGCCAATAGATGTATAGAGCCTGATTAAACCAGTATTCTCTGGATCATTAACATTTGGTGCAAAGTCAGTATGATGTTATTTTGCCAGGAAAATAAGAGCAGAAATATTATATTGTGTAAAATTAAGACTTAAAGATAGTCTTGATTTTATGGTGAGTTCTATGTAAAAATCTGTTTGTCCTGTCTTCCTTGATAGCTTTTAGTTTAATTTCATCCAAGATTGCTGGGAATTGATGTCTATAGATAAGCGGTATTGTGTTTTTGCTTACTTTACTTTCTTTCTTTTTTTTTTTTTTTTTGAGACGGAGTCTCGCTCTTGTTGCCCAGGCAGGAGTGCAGTGGCATGATCTTGGCTCACTGCAACCTCTGCCTCCCAGGTTCAAGCAATTCTCCTGCCTCAGCCTCCCGAGCAGCTGGGACTACAGGCATGCGCCACCACTCCTAGCTAATTTTTGTATTTTTAGTAGAGGTAGGGTTTCACCATGTTGGCCAGGCTGGGTCTCGAACTCCTGACCTCAGGTAATCCATGCACCTTGGCCTCCCAAAGTGTTGAGATTACAAGCATGAGCTGCTGTGCCCGGCCTACTTTTCATTTTCAGTGATAATTAAGGCACACTTATCAAACTATTTCTTTGCTAAAATGTGTTTATGTGGCTATGATGAAACACCTTCATTTAGGGTCTGCTTTTTTGTGCCTTTGCTGGCTTTTTGCGAGTCTGAGCCACAGGTGATGTCAGTGTAAAGTTCTGGGTTTGCATGTTAGACTTCACACATATCCAGGTGCAGTTATGCGGATCTGGATCCTCATATGAAGATAGGCAGATGTAATTTCTCATTTCTTTATATGAGAAGATGCACAGTTGTGAAGATCTACAGTGCTGTCATTGTAGGTTAACAGTACCAGTGTTTTCTCCAAGTGTGAGCCTCTGAAAATCTTGCTAAGTCTCTTATAATTCTTTTAAAAACTTCTAGGAGTTTGATCCTATATACCTATACAGTATTTTTTTTTAAAGATGATATCTACACGATGTGATTATTATGCATTGCATGTGTGTATCAAAACATCTCAGGTACCCCATAAATACATACACCTAGTATGTACCCACAAAGATTACAAATAAAAAAATTAATAAATACAAAGTTGATAAATATTAGGACCACGGGCCACACTAGTCATAATGTAAATAAAACCAGTCATGGGGAGTAACTTCATTTGTTTCCAGAATAATTGATGTAGGTATAAGGAGCAACATTGTGTCTTAAAACCATGGCAAAGTCAGCCTAATACCTCTTCCTCCCTTTCTCAAATGATCTTAAAACTGAAAGGGTTATGCTTTGTTCATTGGTTGAATAACAATTTATAGTCAAGGAAGAGCATTTCCTGGATGTCTCAGAAGATGCAAGCCTGCATGAGGAGGTAGACAGATAGATGTCTGAAGTGTAGGTTGAAAATACAGTAGAAAAAAAAAAAGAAAATACAGTAGAACGTTCAGTGTGTCTGTATAGTTAGTGAGTGAACATGATGTGACTCACTTCAACTATTTGGTTATCTTCTTAGTTCGTTTCACCTGCATTCCTTACAGAAAGAGCGAGGTTAGGAACAATTGGGTGTTGATGTCTGGTCCCTGCATTTTAAAAATATAATGCAGTTATTTTACTTTGTGGTTAATGAGGGAAACTTGTGTTTTTGTTCCTTAGGCATCTTGAATCAAATCACTCACTGTAGCGAATGTTGAACAAGATACATTTCACAACACATTGCTTATTATTACATTTAATACAAGTACAGGAATAACAGAGTGATTATTGTTTCTTAGAAATGCATACATGGTCTCTGACTTCTAGTGGTTCAGTTTAAGATTGTTTAACCTTACTGTATCATGGAAGTGGTACATATTTAGTAGAAACTGTACTTCAAGTACTCGTATAACGATTCTGCTTTTCACTTTCATAACAGCGTTCAATAAATTATATGAGATGTTCAACATGTGCAAAACAGGCTTGGTATTAGGTGATTTTGCCTAGCTGTAGGCTAAGGTAATTATTCTAAACATGTTTAGGTAGGCCAGGCTAAGCTATGATGTTTGGTAGGTTAGGTGTATTTGGTGCGTTTTTTTACTTAAAATATTTTTAACTTATGGTATGTTTATTGAGATGCAACCCCATCAGAAGTTGAGGAAGCAGTGTCTGTATGTTTACTTGGAAGAGCATATGCAAGGTTTAATAACAAGAAAGGAATTTGCCAGTGTTATTTTCAAATACTCTAGTGTAATTATGCTGGAAACCTCAGAGTTTGCAAAAACAGTATGATGGGCTCTCTGTGTGCAAAGATCATGTAACCTACTTTTGCCATTTAGCTAATACAGTGTTAGCGAATCTGGCTGAGTCCGAAGTGTCACTCCAGTGGAAGGCTGTCAGAGAGTCCACCGTCTTTGTTGAGCGAATATCCTTTAGGCACCACAAACTTAGGAGAGACAGAACCAGTGACTGAAATATGGTAAAAATGTAGCAGAAGGGTGAAGAGGGCAAAAAGAGTAAGGCTGTGTATTTAGGGGAGGACCAGGTAGCGTGAATTATTGCTTTTGTGCCAGCTACTGTATAAAGTACTGAAGGAAATCTAAATTTATTTCATCCATAATTTTGTTCTTGATGTCAAGACATAAAACAATAAAAAATCAGTTTTTTGTTTTAAGAGGTCTTTCCAATTACTTAAAATAAATTTATAAGGTATTGTGAATGTCAGAAAGTTGTTATTATCAAATGACACCACAACAGAAAATATTTCCCGTAAACCATCTCAAAATATTTACCAAATGCTGTATTCCCACCAAGATTTTCTCTAGCTGTCTCTCATGGGTACCAGACATGTGTCTCTGAAGGAGACCATCACTGTATGTGTGCCTGATTAAAATACATGATGAGAGCCATCCCAAATTGCTTTTTAATAAAGCCTTCTGCAAGGCAGAGCCTTTAGATGTATGAATAAAGGTGCATTCTCAGAATATTGTAAGGAAACAAAACATTGTAAAAATTATAACAGAAAAATTTATAAGAGAATGAAAAATTATGAGAGAACAAAACAGCTTACTTTGACCTGTAAAATCAGTACACCTTTTCCTGGCTACAGCAAGTTAAAGGGAGTATGGCATGTGAGTAGCTAGAGCTTTTTTTCTTTTTCTTCTTCTTTTTTTTTTTTTTTTTTTTTTAGTGGACTTGTGTTTATGTTCTAATTAGTTATAACATGAATTCACATGTTTCTCTCTATATGGAGAAATATATCAACTTAACAATAAGTTGATAATCCTTTTTTTGGTTATTCTAAGAGTCCTTTAAAAAGAGAAAAGCAATTTAGAGTGAATATTGAAGTTGGTTTTCTTGCTGAATAAATTGTAGAGTTAAAGCAGAGAAAATTTTAAATTGACATTAAATAGACCCAGGACATTTCAGAAAATGCAATTCCTAAAATTAAATGTTTGAGCAAATGAAGTATAGGAAATGTTGAGAAAAACCATGGTACACACTATGCTCTTTATTTGAAATCATGCCCTTAGGAAAATTTATATTTAAATTCTGGGGCCTAGAATCTATTTTCTAAATGTGGTAGACCTTAAGACATTTGTCATCTAGGTTTCTAACTGATCATAGATTACAGAAATGCAGAAATGAAAACTGACATTTAAAAATCTTGATATTTTAGTGCGTAATTCTCATTAATAGGATTTGAGTTCGTGCCTAATTGCATTTGTGATCAATGTGCAAGTAGAGCTTTTTTTTTTTTTTTTTTTTTTTTAAAAACTTTTATGCCTAATTAAGCTTTATAGAGGGGGTTGGATACCAGGAATGTAAACTTTGCAACCATTCATTTTTAGGATAGCTTTTATTTTGTCTACATGAAAATCAAATGTGTTACTTTTAAATGTAAAGGTACATGTACTATTTATCTTTTCTTTTGTGACAGATTAAATACAAAGAAAAATTTGAAAATGAAATGAAGGATAAGAAACATCATTACAATCCTCTTGAAAGTGCTTCTTTTAGGCAGAATCAGCTTGCTGCTACATTGGCAAGCAATGTAAGTTATAATTCACAGAAAGTTATTTTCAATATCTTTTGAATTTTTTTTTTTTTTTTTTTTTTTTTAAGAATCAACTGTGTTGTAATTACCAATACTTAATCAAAATAATGTAGCTTCCAGGCAATTTGTAGTTGAACTGAAGCATATTTTTCTAAAGCTTTTTCTGAGAAAAATACATTATTGTAATTAATTTTTAATGGTTACTGATTACTAATTAGTTAATAAGTAGGAATAGTATTGCAAATGAAGTTATTATATCTGCTCAAGAGTAGAAATAGATTATAGAATTTTGCAGAGAAGTGGTCTGTATTACCACAAATTAGTGGTTAGGACAATAGTTACCTCATGTAATTATGGTGATGAAATTGAGTTTATTGTAAAGTACTGCCTGGTACATGGTAATTTATCATATAAAGAAATTTTTAGAAATTTTACTTGTAGTGGCTTACAGTTTATTTTTTATTCCTTAGGTAAATGCTGTGAAATAATTCCTTATATGATTTGTTTTCATTCCATGTTTTTAAAAATAAAAATAATTTTACAAGAAATGAGTTTTAAAAATCTTTTTAGAATCTTGTTTTATATTCTGTCTTATTAGAGTATAAAAACAGCAACATCAAAAAGTTGATTACTTTGCTATAGTTGAAAATAATTTAGATTTGCTTTTCAAGTATAAAAATTATGTATTATTGATCTGTCACTTTGTTAGATAATTTAAACCCTTCAACTCTCATTGGCTTTTTGGGCCTTGGTTTATCTTGCTTTAATTAATGTTTATAAGGTATTACTATTTGTATTCAACAACCAGCTTTTGTTTGTTTCTAGCAATTGAAGTGGGTGTTTCTATCTTTTGTGACCACTGGGAATAGCAGAATGATTTCTCTTTTTTGTTTGATTATTCTGCATGTGTGTACAAACATAAAGGAAATAGAGATGAAATATACTTAACCTGGAACATAGTGCTGAAACCTAAAGGTTTGGAGTCAAAGGGCTTAGATTTAAATCCTGTTTCATCAGATGTTACTATGTCTTTGTCTTTCTGTGCCTCCGTTTTCTTATCTGTAAAATGGGGCTACTTAAAGTACCTACTTAATAAAGGTTATTGTAGAGATTCAATACTTAATACATATAAAGGGTTTTAGAAAAGTGGCACGTAGTATGTTTGCTATCAATATTATATTATTACTAGTATTATATTTTCAGAAAGTTGCTTTAAAAAAGTCTTTGTCAATAGGAGGGAAAACATTGAAATCCTAAGAACTCCACAAAGCCTAATTGAAATACTGTAGTAATTTCTAAAGAATAAAGTGGGCTATTCTCTTTATTTTTTGAAACCAGAGTTACTGTGAAAATTGCTTTATTCTGTTAACATCACCGTTTCTGAATATGTAAACAAGGAATTATTCAAGTATTTTCAAGCCCATATAGAAATAACTTTAAAAAACTCATTCAGTAGTAAATCAGCACCATCTAGTGGCTCCTTGTAAATTCGTCTGTCAATTTACCAGTAAATAATACTACTTGTGTGAAAAATGCAATAATGCAAAAGCATATTTTCTTCTCTTAGACGGTATTTTGTTCCATGTTATTTTCATAGGTGAAATATAAGAAAGACATTCAAAATATGCATGATCCAGTTTCAGATCTCCCAAATTTGTTGTTTTTGGACCATGTTTTGAAAGCCAGCAAAATGCTCAGTGGTGTAAGTGGGTCATCTAATGGCAACTGTAGATGCCTCGTGGCTCCAAGAAGCCAATAATGCCTGCAGTGTTCATGTGCTCACCTGCTTCCTTAGAGGGCCTGTGCCTCACTCCTCCCTCAATAACTAACTCATTGAAAAATAGTTCTCTGCTTGCAGAAATCCCACCAGAGCTGTCACTTTACAAAGGAGGTTCTTGGTAGTCTCCAGTGTCTGGTGTGTACCACTGTATTTCAAAGTGTTTGCGCAAGTGGTCTTTCTATTGTTCTTCTTTCCTTTTCATCATCTGTGTTAGATTAAAGCCACTTGAAGTTCAGGCCCTCAAGTCAGGGATATTTTATTTTATGCAGGTCAGACCAGAGTGTCTTGTATTTAGTATGCCTTTAGCAGCATGAAAAATTGTCTTAGTCTAAACTGTATTTTCTCTGAAAATAATTCCTAATGGCATTTATATTACATTGACACATTGCTTTTAGCCTTGTCATGGTTTCCATGTTCTCAGTCAAGGCAGCCAGGAGAGAAGGGTGAATTCTTCTTCATGTCTTGATGAAAATACTTGGGCGCACTGCCCACGTGGTCAGTCCTGTGGAACTCTCATTATCTTGGATGCTGTTTCAACCCATAGTACATCAGGACCCTGACTTCTCAGGCTCTTGTAACTGATAACCCTGGGTCACGTGTGGCTCCATTTTGTACTTCTCAGGATGCCCCATGGTGGCAATGAGCTTTTATTTGACCATAAATTATTTTCATGCCTATTTTAATAATCACACTCTCACTCAAAATTATTCATAATTTATTGAATATCTGCTTTAGCCCAGACATAGGTCAGATGCAGAAATATATGTTGGATAAGTCATGAGAAAAAATGAAGAAAGTTGTGTTCACTTGATGTGCCTGGACTTAAAACTCTATAGGCAAAACTTGGTTTCTAGACAGTTAAATAATGAGATACACCTTCAGGGCATTTTTAGAAATAATCTATACTTGGCTTTAGTGCTTTGAAATGTTATGTTTATTATTTTGTAAGCCTCCTTTCTGGAATACCACTGCCACCGTCTTCCTTCCTTAATGCTATTATGCATGCAAGTAATTCATACAGAGCTTTTTAAAGTTTATTTTTGGCTGGGCATGGTGGCTCACAGCTGTAATCCCAGCACTTTGGGAGGCCGAAGCAAGCAGATTACAAGGTCAGGAGTTCAAGACTAGCCTGACTAACATGGTAAACCCCATCTCTACTAAAAGTATAGAAATTAGCTGAGTGTGGTGGCATGCACACACTACTCAGGAGGCTGAGGCAGGAGAATCGCTTGAACCTGGAAGGTGATGGTTGCAGTGAGCCAAGATTGCACCACTGCACTCCAGCCTGGGTGAGAGAATGAGACTCCATCTCAAAATAAATAAATAATAAAGTTTATTTATTTATTTATTTTTTCTGGCTGGGCATAGTGGCTCATCCCTGTAATCCCAGCACTTTGGGAGGCTGAGGTGGGTGGATCACTTGAGGTCAGCAATTCAAGACTAGCCAGGCCAACACAGTGAAACCCCATCTCTACTAAAAATACAAAAATTAGCTGGGCGTGGTGGTGGCTGTCTGTAACCCCAGCTACTCAGGAGGCTGAGACAGGAGAATTACTTGAACCTCGGAGGTTTCAGTGAGCTAAGATGGCACCATTATGCTCCAGCCTAGGCAAGAGGAAGACTCTGTCTCAAAAAAATAAATAAATAAAAAGTAAAATAATAATTATAAATAAATATAAATTTATTTTTTTCTTTAATGATTGGTCCTTGGATGAAAAGCAGTACATTAGTGTTTCCAGGCTGTTGAACAGGGAATAGAGGCTAGAGGACTATTTGGTGAGCCCAGAACTGGCACCCAGTTCCAGGACATTTACATCATGTGGGCTTGCACTTCAGTGTTTATTCCCACACCTCTTTATACATTCCTCTATTTTTTGAGTGTCTCTGTTTGTCTTTTTTCACCACGACTCATAGATATGCTTCTAAAATTGATGTATTTCTATTCCCTGAGCCCCCTGCTTTCTTCACATTCATTCTCTGACATCCAATTTTGATCACTGCAGTGGCATTTGCCCTTGACCTTTCTCTAGCCATACTTAGCTTAAATTTCCTAGGGACATGGGGATTCATGTGCAAATAAGCCAATAAAAAGATCATAGTGGTAATTTAAACATTTGGTGACTGGAAGAAAGCATGCCACTCCTATGCAATATTTCTTTTCAAGAACGTTGACCTTTATTTTATAATAATGGTGGAAAAAAACCACAGTCTAATATAAATTGTTTCTATCATCTCTTCAACAGAGTAAACTCAGAAAGTCATATGTTACACGTATTTGATATATCATTTATAATGTTTAGATCTTCATTTAGGTGGTGCTTTTGCCTAGATTACAGATTTCTTTTTCTCCTCCCGGTACACAAATTGTGATTAAATGACTACTGCATAGGAGAGAAAGTTTAGGACTTAAAAAATGTGTTCCTTTGAAGTGTCTACTTACAAAGTTGTATACATTGTCTAAATAAGTATACATTGTATAAAGTTGTATACATTGTATAAACATGTATACATTGTATAAAGTTGAATACATTGTATAAAGTTGTATACATTGTATAAAGTTGTATATGTTGTATAAAGTTGTATACATTTGCTCAAATTTATATATTAGAATGGCCTTTAGCACTTGTGAAGAAACAAAGAATAGCCTACTTTAAAATTTTAATGTAAAAAATTGGAACTTTGTCGATTTATAAAGGTAACTTACTTTATTAAAAGATTGAATAAGATGGCCCAATAAGGAGATATTCTGCTGAAATTATCCATTTGACATAAGTAGCTGTTGTTTTAAAGACCCCCCAGATGTCTTTAGCAACATCAGAATTACTTTTATTTTAACCTGAACTCTATAGAGTGATATCAGTGCCTTAATTAGTGAGTAAAACCATTCTAGTTAAAGTTTTGGGAAACATTTTCCCCTGGAAAATGGACTTTCATAGTATTCAGTTTCTTTTATAACTTGACATAAATTAAAAGATATATATTTTGTGTTACTCTGTGTATCTCCCACTAGGAGGCAACAGAGACTGTTATATAAGTCAAGACAGGTATTCCAAGTTCTTTTGCAGATCTTAATTCAAGTTAGCTTTTCTTGTTTTTTATTTTGTTTTTCTCTTACATAGGAGTTTTAAAAATTCTTTGTAACCAAAATGGATAATTGTGTTGGGAACAATATTTACTGAATTTTTCAGCATATATTCATTATTTTATACATAATAATATCCTAGTCTTTATTTGCTGTGGATTTCAACTCAGTAATGGACTATTTTGTAGCTGGACTATGCTATACTCATTATTTTATAAATACATATTTCAAAATAAATTATAAAATCTTTCCATATTATCTTTTTTTAAAAAAAACCTGGTTAAAAATAGAGGCTTTTTAAAAAAAGATTAGAGAAGCCAAAATTTATAACTTGTTTCCTACAATCAAGACGTACTTTGTGGGCTGGGTGCAGTAGCTCATGCCTGTAATCCCAGCATTTTGGGAGGCCAAGGCAGGAGGATGGCTTGAGGCCATGAGTTTGAGACCAGTGTGGGCAACATAGTGGGATGCCCGCTCTACAAAAAATAAAGAAATTAACTGGATATGGTGACATGCATCTAAGCCCCAGCTACTCAGGAGGCTGAAGTGGGAAGATTGCTTGAGCCCAGGAGGTCAAGGCTGCAGTGAGCCATGATCACTCCACTGCACTCCAGCCTGGGTGACAGAGCAAGACCTGTCCAAGAAAAAAGTACTGTGTGAACATTTTCATGACCTTCCTTGGGCTATCCTCACTCATTTTATTCTGGTTAGGGTCTGGGGGAACATACATTGTAGCTCCATAGTTGACTGGAAGCACTTCAGGCCAGGCTCCCTTTGGGGACTATTGCTTTGTCCCACATGAACGAGCAGCTCTCATGTGGCAGGCCACTTGGACATCTGTTCCATTCCTAGCCCTGGACTTTCTTTCTCTTTCATTCTGAAATCCCTGGAGGATCCCCTAAGGCTGAAATGTGAGTTTCCTTATGGCCAGCTCTTTTCTGCTCCCTTTCAAGTACTGTTTTTGTATCCCTCCACTCTAGTGCCATTTTTACTGACACCCCCATTGCCTAATAAGCAACTATCTTTAGCTTCTTAAGTCTCTGTAGTCTTGAGTCTTTAAGAGTTACCATTTACTTCTAAAGGTCTTTTCCAAATAAGGCAAAATAACTAAGCATCCAATCGCCAATGATAGAAATCATGAAATATTTTTTAAAATTTCTAATTGTGATTGATACATAATGGTTGTATATATTTATGGGATAAATGCAATGTTTTGATACAGGTATACAGTGTGTAATGATCAAATGAGGATAATTGAGGTATCCATAAAATCATACATTTCTCATTTCTTTCTGTTAGGAATATTTCTATTCTACTTTTAGTTATTTTAAAGTGTACAGTAAATTATTGTTAACGATGGTCACCCTGTTGTGCCACTGAATACTAGATCTTACTTTTTCTCTCTGTCTGTGTTTTTGCACCCCTTAACCATCTCCACTTTATCCCCTCTCCCCACCACTCCTCCAGCCTCTGGTAACCATCATTCTCTTTATCTCCATAAGCTCAGCCTCTCAAGTAGCTGGGGCTGTAGGTGCACATCACCATGCCCACCTAATTTCTTTATTTTTTGTGGAGCTGGGGTCTCACTCTTTTAGCTCCCACATATGAATGAGAACATGTGAAATTTGTTTTTCTGTGCCTGTCTTATTTCACTTAACGTAATGACCTCCATCCAGTTCTATTCATGCTGTTGCAAATGGCAGAATCTCATTCAATTTTGTGGCTGAATAGTATTCCATTGTGGATATGTACCACATTTTCTTTATTCATTCATCCGTTGATAGACACTTAGGTTGCGAATGTAACAATGTTTGTCATATTGCTGGCTGTTACATGTAGCATCTTTCATTGGCCAAACTTGGCATCCCTGTTTAATTTAGTCTCTTCCAAATTCAATGTTTTGTCTGTATATCTGCATAGTAGCCTTCATTCAATTTCTTCACTTTAAAAACTCAACTGACTATTCCAAGATTTCTCAGATTCTCTTCCAGGCACCTTTGACCCTTTCCTTTTAGGAAAATTAGCTGAATTATTTCTCTTACATTTTCTTTGTGACCCTCAATCTTCTTCATGGTGTAGTCTTTTTGTATAGGACTTTTTTATTCCTTGCCTCTGGGTTTCTTTTCTGCTCTTCCTTTTGCTTCTCTTTCCTTCTCTTCTGTTGAACAGTGTTAAACATATTCCTGTCCTTGGATAAGAGCAAGACACATTGCCTTTATTTTGCCCCACTTTACCTATTTACACGAGTCCCAGCACTAGCTTTCCGTCACCACTTCCTGGTGTTGTGAATATCCCTGACATTATGTTTGCGATTAACTGTCCTCCGTCTCTCTGTGTGTTTCATATGCTGACCTAGAGCGGATCTGTCTTGGATTGTCTGTGTATCTCTGTGTCAGAAACCTCCTACCTGCTAGCCAACTGCAGATGGGGTCTTGGCAGCAGCTTTGCAGCTCTTGGTGGCTTGTATTGTGCAGTTCGCATTTCTAAGTATTGATTGCTCTATTCATTCTCTTTAATTCTAAATTTATTTTCATGTTTTGTATTCTAGCGAGAATATAAAAAACTCTTTGAGGAAAACAAAGGAATGTATCATTTTGATGCCGATGCTGTGGATCACCTGCACCATAAATGCAATGCCATCCTCCAAAGTCAGGTATGTACTTGCTGGGCACCCACCCTCCCTGCCAGGAACCCGTAATCATCCCGAGGCCCACCAATTACTGCCATGCATCTTAACTGAGAACCTACAGCTGCAGAAAAGAATAAATCCTGGGAAAACAGCCTGGCCAACACAGAGAAACTTTATCTCTACTAAAAATACAAATATTAGCTGGGCATGCTGGGCACCTGTAACCCACTACTCAGCAGGCTGAGGCAGAATTGCTTGAACACAGGAGGTGGAGGTTGCAGTGAGCCGAGATTGTGCCATTGCACTCCAGCCTGGGTGACAGAGCTAGACTCCATCTCAAAAACCAAACCAAAACAAAACAAAAAAACCAAACCAAACAAACAAAACGTTACTTTTGAATATCTCAAACACCATTTGTTATACATGTTTTGGGATCAGGGGATCTTGAACCACATTTCAATCTAAAGGCTTTTTATAAAATAACCATTACTTCACATAATTAAAAAGTTACAAGATAGAAATTAATTAAACCGTGTTCAAACCACATGATGATTTAAATTTTTCTAGTGTCCTAATTTGTCATTTTGAGTTGTAACATTAATTTTCCAGGTGCAAGGTTAATTATGCTTTTTTATTTCAATTATAACTGTTATTAAAAAGGTAATACTAGCTTATTCTAGATTAATTTTTTTAATATGAAATTCTAGGTAATCCCTGAATAAGCTTTAAAAAATATTCTCTCCAGCATATTTTAAAGTTATCTATGTTTTTTTTAAATTCTGAGCTTAAATAGTTGGAAAAGATGTCAGTTCCAACATCTGTTAAGGTAAAATTTTATATCACTCTTTTAAATGTATTCTGTGGAATGCGAAGTCCATAATAATTTGATACTCACCTTCATTGGTTTTAAAAATACACAAAACAGGCTGGACCTAGTGGGTCATGCCTGTAATCCCAGCACTTTGGGAGGCTGAGGTGGGCAGATCACGAGATCAGGAGTTCGAGACCAGCCTGGCCAGCATGGCAAAACCCCATCTCTACTAAAAATATAGAAATTAGCCGGGCATGGTGGTACACACTGTAATCTCAGCTACTTGGGAGGCTAAGGCAGGAGAATTGCTTGAACCTGTGAAGCAGAGGTTGCAGTGAGCTGAGTCTATGCCATTGTACTCTAGCCTGGTGACAGACTGATACTCTGTCTCAAATTTAAAATAAATAAATAAATAAATATATATATATATGCATGTGTGTGTGTGTGTGTACATACACACGTATATTTCTTATTTTCATTTATTTCACAAAATTTTATCCTAATGGTGTATGCTGATATACTTCCTGATACTTTTATTGATCACTCTATCATACTCTTTGCAACAAAATTATGTCTACAAATAGGTATTTTAAAGTATGTTATATTTCCTATTCCATAAAGTTCTAAGTTAGAAAATTTTTCTTGAGTTGAATTATCGTTAACATTATCACTATTACAATACAACTTAAGAAATAATTTCATAATTATTAGACATATAAATTTTAACAAGAGTGCATTTCTGAATGAAGTATGATAAAAACTTTTCTATGAGTTTAATTTTAGAAAGTATATTGCTTAAAAAACCAGCCAATCTGATGGCTTTAAAAAAAATATTATTTTTTTAATGGAAGCTTGAAAAATATCACTCATTTTATCAACTGAAGATGAAGACTGACTCTAATTGAAATAATTCATAATATGATATTAAATATTGCGTAGTGAAATTGAAATAAATCATATAAAGGTCTGTGTGAGTGTTTTACTCAGTGTCTATGAAAAAATTCAGCAGCCCTGGAGGACATCATCCTGTCTTTGACAGAAAAATAGAGAATCACGCCCATGTTTTCTTTCTTGTTTTTGATTTACCAATAGACATCAATGCGATCTCAGGGATCAACCTCTGTCTCAAACCAACTACCTATATGTATATGCCATTTGCATATACATAAATAACCCCATACATATGATACATACCTATATATTCCAGCTATTTGAAAAAATACTTTATACAGGTTCTAGAACTACATTAGTTGTTCTAAATTACTTTTATCCCTTAAGAAATTTTATATTATGTTTACTTTCCTTGTATGTCATTAACTAAAGGGAACTCAGTGATCAACCTAAATGGCCAGAATAATATGATTTTAGAAAGCAAGATGATTAATTTTAAACATATATATATTTTTTACTTTGCTCTGTTTGCATAAGGGCTTTTGATTTTTATATGCTTTTCTTTTTCCAACGAAGGTTAAATACAAAGAAGAATATGAGAAAAATAAGGGAAAGCCAATGCTTGAATTTGTTGAGACACCATCCTATCAAGCTTCAAAGGAAGCTCAAAAGATGCAAAGTGAAGTAGGTCAACTGGTTTGTTAATAATTGTTTACTGTAAATTTGATGTTTTGCCATTTGAAAGAACTTGGAATGTTCAGTGGGTTTAGAAGAAAGAGCGCTGCTCTGGGCAGATTCAAGGACCTGCTTTCCAGACCTGGCCACCCACTGCCTGGAATCTTGTCTAGATCATTGTGTTAGTCTGGTTCTTAGTTTTTCTCCTTGGTGAATATGGATCTCAAGCCAGATGAGCTTTTATACCCCCCATCAGTTCTAATATACTATGATTGTATAACTGACACTTTCAGATATTAATGTTTTTACCTTTTGCCTTTCAGATGTTAATGTAAAACTATGGTGAGTTCATAAAAATTAAAAACAAAAGGCTGGTTCCTTTTTTTTTTTAGCCTATTTTTGTTTTTGTTTTGTTTTGTTTTTGCAGTGAAAATAGAACTAACATTTTAAAAATACTCCATGCTAGGTAATATGCTAAGAGTCTTTTATATCTCGGCTCAGTTAATCGTCAAGTAATGATGCTATGATGCTAGAAGGTATTCTCTATAGTTTAAGAATGTATCTACTGAAATTGTCTTAAATGAAATTCTGAATCTAGTAAATGTTAATGTTTTAGAACCTGGTCAAAATTATAATGATTCCCTTTTCTCTGTTATTTTATGTTTTGGTCTGTTTCGTGTTGCTATAACAGAATACCACAGACTAGGCAATTCATAAAGAACAGAGATTAATTTTTTTCAGTCCTGGAGGCTGGGAAGTTCAAAATCCATGGGTCCACATCTGGCAAAGGTCTTCTTGCTGCATCATCCCATGGCAGAAGGTGGAAAGACAGAGAGTGCTTGCATATGTCTTGGAGGAGGGGATGGGAAACTCATCCCTTTTTCAGGGACCCAACCCCATGATATGAAACCATTCCCATGACATCAGCATCAATCCATTCGTGAGGCAGAACCCTTGTGGCCTAATCACCTCTTAGAGTTCTCACCTCCCAGTACTGTTGCATTGGGGATTAAGTTTTCAACACACCAACTTTGGGGTGGGGGACACATTCAAAGCATAGCAACATATTTGATTGATTCTTTTTTTCAATAAACAGTTAAGAGTTTTTTTCTTTTTATCTACTTTATTCTCAACCTAAGATTATGCTAAGTCACATCTAGATAGTCCCCATCTTTTTTTTTCTCTGTACCAGTGAGACTTACGTGTGTGTGTGTGTGTTTTTCCTTACTAACTTTTCAGGATCAGACACACAAGGTTTTGCCTGCAGCCCATATCAAAGTTCTGTGGGTGCACCTGGGTCCTTATTGCAAAGGGACAAAAATAGTGGATGCTGGTCTCAGTCCAATACAACTTTGATGCTTCATGCTAGGCATGCTCACTAAATAACATCCTTTCTGTTGCCTAATAACATCAGAACAGGCAGAAATGATAACTTGTGGGAAAAAAAACTCTCATAGGAATTTTGTAAGCATTACTAGTGCTAATTGTTGAAACGTTATAATTCATCTTCTTGGGAAAACAGCACTCAGATATTACCATGGTTTATTGAATAGACAAAGTTGCTTAATTTCTTCTTTAAGCAAAAAGGAAAAGTAATTACCTGGATTTTTCATGTCTTATTCAGTGGCCCCCAATCTTTTGGGCACCAGGGACTGGTTTCCTGGAAGACAATTTTTCCATGGACTGAGGAGTGGTGGTGGTGGAGGGGTTGGTTTCACAATGAAACTGTTCACCTCAGATCATCAAGCTTTAGATTCTCATAAGGAATGCATAACCTAGATCCATTGCATGCACAGTTCATAATAGGGTTTGCACTCCTATGAGAATCTAATGCCACCACCGATCTGACAGGAGGCAGAGCTCAGGCAGGAATGCTCCCTCACCCTCCCTCACCACCTGCTGTGAGACCAGGTTGCTAACTGGCCATGGTTGCTACTGGTCCATGGTCTAGGGACTGGGGACACCTGTCTTATTTCCTTTAGGCTAATCAGGAGGAATCTGATAAAGAAACATCAAGTAACCATTTTGACTAAATGAGTTATTTGTTTCAAGTAAATTGATATACTGGTGAATTTGGTCAATTTTCAGAAGCCCCATAAAAATTTACATTTTACAAAATAAATTTTTCTGGAATACCTTTTCTTCCTTTAGAAAATAGTGTGTAAACACTTTATAAAGTATATAAAGAGTTTTATATGCTCCTTTCATTGCTTTTCTATCTTTCACTGCAGCAGTACATTTTGGGTGGAGTAGAGCCACCCAAGAAATGCCCCCATTTTGTAGAAATAACATGGCTGTTGTCAGTGACCCACAGTCTAGAGAAAGGTTACTACTTTCAGGAGCTGTCATGGTACTTTTGCTTTGTGGGTCTTCTGAAGGGTTAACCCATTTCCCATTTAGAAAAAAACAAAAACGTGCAGTTTGCTGCCAGCACTGATTTAGTTTTACATAAACACGCTCTTTGAGGCTGAAGCAAATTGGACTTTTTATTGAGATGGAATCTCAATCTTACTCAGGCTGGAGTGTAGTGGTGTGTTCTTGGCTCATTGCAACCTCCGCCTCCCAGGTTCAAGCAATTCTTCTGCCTCAACCTCCTGAGTAGCTGGGATTACAGGCAGCCACGACCACGCCCAGCTAATTTTTGTATTTTTAGTAGAGACGGGGTTTCCCTGTGTTGGTTAGCCTGATCTCCAACTCTTGACCTCATGATCTGCCTACCTCAGCCTCCTAAAATGCTGGGATTACAAGTGTGAGCCACTGCGCCTGGCTGGACCTGACTTGCAATGTGAAAAAATAAAATATAAAAACTGTTCTTGGAGTTATTTCTAAACAGAACTTGTCTCTAATCCTAGTGTAATGGCCATGTTTATGATGTTACATTAGGATTAGAGACAAGCGTATTCTTGAGGCAAAAGGGAAATGGGCTAAGACAATAAGAAGCTGTTACATAAATTTCCACTGAAAGACACGGGGTCAAAAATCACTCTTCTTTTCCGAGAACATTTCTGGCAGCATCAGCATTTCAGGCTGGGCCTCCTCTTCCAGTTCCCTCCTCTGCCCCTTTCCCTTTACCTCCTCCCTTCCTCTTTGATCCTCAGCCCTAGAAACATGCATGCTGAGCACCCTTTTATTGTTCTGGTCCCAGTTCTGAACTTTTTTTTTTTTTCTACTGTGGTTAACTTTCCTTTCACTGATAAATCCTGAAACTTATAATTCATGATTAATATAATTTAATACCATGTTTCTGTAGTAGAAATTACAGTAATTTATGATTTGAGATTTTAGATAGTCTCTTTTCTTCACCTAACTTTTCTCTTGCCAGGTGAGACATGTTTTCCCTGACATGTATTCCCTTTAATTATAGTAATTGACTATTAGGTTTTTTAGGCTCAACAGTCATTTCTTGAAGGGAGTGAAATCTTCCAATAGAAAGTATCTTTGGACCCAATTTATATGCTAAAGGCTAGAAAAATAAAGTAGCTAAAAATCTTAGACAAAGCTTGATGTAAAAAAAAAAAAGTGTCTTTAAATATAGGACCGATGAAATAGATACAAAGAGAATCATCTGTCTTAGAGATGTTTTTTATTTCCAAGAGGTAGGCTTGACTGCAGGTTTCTTAAGGAGCCTCTTAAAGGTAAACTTAAGTATTTACCATCTCAGGAAAAGCCACTGGTATCTTTGCCATGGTCTATAATTAAGTTTATCTTGCTTTCTTCCAATGTTAGATATAGGTTTAATCTGGGTGTTTTCTGGAAGAAATCTTTAAATCTGGCTTTGAAAAGTTCTTTGTCTTATTTCACCATATAACTTTCTTCAAAAAGCATTCCAAAGGTGTGCGCGTTTTCCTAGCTATATATTTTGGCCATTTCTAGTCATAATCAACCTACCTTAATGATTTACTTCAGTAAAATAACTTTTTTTTTTTTTTTTTTTCGCAGAAGGGTGTTTTGAAGTGAAATAGCTGATGTAAATGAAGGCATGAATGCATACACATATTTCTATTTCACCATTTAAAGAGTCCTTTTTAGCCTGGAGATGCCCTAGATTCAGCCTTGTAACTATTACCTCTACTAATTCCACATAAGGAAGAGAAAAGTTTCTAGTCATTGTTTTTGGTCATCGTATCTCTAGTTCATTAGGTCAGAATGCTCTCAATGCAACTGCTTATTTAGCTTTGTTAGATTTTCAGAATGTCTCTTGTTTCTCTAGTTGTGGCTATACCCACATCATTTGTTAGATTACTGTGTGGAACACATGTGCTAAGTGAGGAGACAGCATGCTTCTCTTATTTTCCTTCATGGTTTAGAGACATTATTTATGCAATTATCTATCTCTTTAATGAATAAATAATGGATCTAGAAATAGCTTCTCATTTTGCATGAATAACAATTTCATGCAGAACTTATTTTTATCATTTTGGGGTTGCAATTTGAACAAAATGTTTGGCTGGTAAAGTGTGGACCCTTGTTGAATAGCTATTTCACATGGATGGATATTTTTGTTATTTAGAGAGGCCGTCTTTATAGTCACAAAGCATACATTATCACTGATTTTTCAAATGTGTAGTTCAAATGTAAGAATTTAGAGAATCATAGCCAAAGAGTGGTAGAGTGTGTTAAAGGGGCTTGTGGTGATCTGAATCTAACTCCCCCCACCCCTAACCCCCACCACAATCACCACTGCATCAACCTTTCAGTTCTTTGTGTGAACTCTCACCTTAAAGACGAGTTTGGTTAACAGGTTCAAAATAAGATTCTCCTCACAGCACAACTTTATTCATATCAAACACCACAGATGATAGAGACATATTCTCAACTCCAAAATCATTAGAGGGAAACCTCCTCTCTCACCCTCAAGCATCATTGCATTTTAGAAGTGATAATTCCTGAATTTGCAAAAGTCTGATGAAGAAGGATGATGGGGACATGAACATTAATGCTGCTTGGGTTTGATGGTGGTTTGAGTGGCTTCCATGCCACCAGATTTTCCCCCAGTCAATAGATCTACTCACCTTGGAGTAAACTAGTGGAGGGATCCAGTCAAATAGCCAATCTTATTGGTTCTGCTCTGAAAAATGGGCTGATGTTAATCCCAGATTATTAAGATGTTAGAAGGCCTCACTCAGAATGGTTTACCAGAGGAAGGGGCTACTTAATAATATTTTCTCCTTTGTTTGGTGAAATTCTAAAATTTATGATGAAGTTGGACTTATTTCCCTGTTGATAGGATGACCCTTAGGCGGTAGAACTACCTAAGAAAACATCATTTTTGTTCTGGGAACTCTTGTTCAAATCTCTTTTCAATGGTCACTGATATTTCCTAACTTTAAAATTATGTGGTCTTATTTAACAGAAAGTTTATAAAGAGGATTTTGAGAAGGAGATTAAAGGAAGATCCTCACTGGATTTAGACAAGACTCCAGAATTTTTACATGTAAAGTACATCACCAGCCTTCTGAGGGAGGTATGATCTTGACATTTACTATGAAATACCACAAAAAAAGCAAAGACATAACCCAGGAAATATTTACCTAATTATCTACTAATTCAGTGTTTGAGATATTAAGGCATTACTTTTTTTCACTTTGACTTAACTAATAAAGTTTTGCATTTTCATTAAAAACAGGAAAGCATGTGTTAACATTTCTAATTAAAGTTGTGAGAAGAAATTATCCAGATTTCCTGGGGAAACTTGAAAAACAGCTTGGTTTTGTGTTTTAGTTGCAGCTCAGAGCGCTATAAATAGTTTTATAGCAGTTTTTAAAAAGATGTTTTGAATATGGGTGGAGAGACCTTGATTCTTTCAAACTGAGTTACTATGAAAACATTTGAGAACCAACTTTTCCTGTTGCTTTCCTGCAGCATTCTCAGGACATTTGATATCAGAAATGAGATGCTCACATGTGAAGGTTTAGATAAAGGCATATTACTTATAAGTAGTTTGTGTTCTAAGTAGGGAAAAATAATATATTTAGCATATAGAATAGAGGAACTCATGTCCTTTTCTTTTATTCTCTGCAAAAATTTCCCCCAAAATGTAATGGTACATTTTTGCTCACAAGTAATATATTAATTTTTTTTTAACATCAAGGCCTTAAAATTAAAAATATCATGTCTGTAGTCCATCCTTTTAAAAGCTAATCTTTTTGTTTTTAAATGACCAAAAAGTAGCTCATAACTCTTCCAAATCTGCTTAAGTACATACGCTTTATATTAAGGGAACATGTTCCCTAAGTAGAAATGTTTTATATGATGTAATATACATACTACTATAATATAATATGTATTATATAATATGTATTGCATGTGTGTATACATACATGAAATTTCATTTCATTTTGAATTTTTGAACTGAGGAAACTATTCCTGAAGGAAATGTCTTAGACCAGTGAAATAAATTTGAGATTAGTTACCTATAGGAGCACATCATTATGAAATTCTTTAATAAGCAAATGCTAACTGGCTGTAAAGTTTAACTTGTTTTAGAAATTTAATGTGATTTAGTGTTGTAATATATGTTGTGGTGAAATAGACATGTAATTTCCGTAAGAGTTATTTTATTACACTATCTTTTCTCACTTCTAGTTCCTAATAAAAAATTTTGAAATTGAAGGCTAAGCAAATGGCAACTTCCTAGAGAGGAGAACTGTGGGTATTAGAGGCTAGGAAGTGGCAAGGGGAGAGAATGAGGAGAGGTCGATTAATGGATACAAAGGAATGAGCTCTGATGTTCTGCAGCACCGTAAGGTGAATATGGGTAACTGTAATCGTGTATTTTTTTTTTTTTTTTTTTGAGACAGAGTTTCGCTCTTGTTACCCAGGCTGGAGTGCAATGGCGCAATCTCGGCTCACCGCAACCTCCGCCTCCTGGGTTCAGGCAATTCTCCTGCCTCAACCTCCTGAGCAGCTGGGATTACAGGCACGCGCCACCATGCCCAGCTAATTTTTTGTATTTTTAGTAGAGACGGGGTTTCACCATGTTGACCAGGATGGTCTCGATCTCTTGACCTCGTGATCCACCCGCCTCGGCCTCCCAAAGTGCTGGGATTACAGGCGTGAGCCACCGAATCGTGTATTTTTAATAAGCTAGAAGAGGAGATTTTGAGTGTTCATAACACTAAGAAATGATACATGTTTGAGGTGATGGATACACCAGCTACCCTGATTGGATCATTATATGTCATGTACACATATTAAAATATCACTCTGTATCCAATAAATATGTACAATTTTTATGTGTCAATTAAAGGGAGAAAAAAGAGAAATAGTTGATGGTAAGGCTTTTCAGAAGAAGAAAGTTTAATAATTTTTACAACAATTTTAAATAATGGCAACCTCCTAGTACTATTGCCTTCCATTTAAAAATATACACTATGTTAATTTTTTAAAGGGGAGTCTTTTTTATCACTTACGTGCAAATGGCAATGTGAGGTCTATTTTGAGGTTCGTAAATGACTTTACTACATGTCGTTGCCTTTTTCTTTTCTTTCCCTTTTGGACTGAGTCTCATTTTAAATTTATTAATTCAGAATACATACATCAGGGTAGAAAAAGGCTCAGAACGCCATATTGTATTGGTCTGTTCAGGCTGCTATAACACAATACCACAGACTGACTGGCTCAACCAACAGACTTTTCTCAAAGTCCTGGAGACTGGGAAGTCCAAGATCAAGGTGCTGGCAGATTTGGTTCTTGGTGAGGGCCCTCTTCCCAGCTTGCAGACACCTTCGTGCTGTGTCTTCAGTAGAGGGAGAGAACGCTAGTCTTCTTCCTCCTTCCTTTAGAGACCTTAATCTTATCAAGGGAGTCTGACTCTGACGATCCCATCTAACCCTAATCACCTCCCAAAGGCCCCACTTTCAAATACGGTCACATTGGGGGCTAGGGCTTCAACATAGGGATTTTGGTGGGAGAGAAACATTTGGTCCATAACAACTATGATGCCAGGTGCTGAAAGACAAATCCTGCATATTCTCACTTTTAAGTGGAATCTAAAACACTTGAACTCTTAGAAGCAGAAAGTAGAATGGTGGTTATAGAGGCTGGAGGGTGGGAGGATGGGAAGGTGGTAGTTAAAGAGTTCAGAATCTGTAGATACTAGGAATACCTTTTTTCTTTGAGATCTAGTACACAGTGTGGTGAAGATAGTTAATAATAGTATATGGTGCATTTCAAAATTGCTGAGAGAGTAAATTTCAAATGTTCTTACCGCAAAGGTAAATATTTGGGGTAATGAATATATTATTTAGATTGATTTAATTGTTCCCCATTGTATCATAAATGATGACATAATTTTGTACCCATAAATATATACAATAATAGTCAATTTACAATAAGAATTTAAAAATATAAAAAAAATATAAAATATAAAAAAAATTAACTTAAAAAATGTAGCCTGTCTAATGTGAAAAATAAAAAGGATTTTTATAACTTGATAACTTGATGAAATTATTACTTCCCTTTCTAAGTGTAAGCATTTAGCTTCAAATGAACTTTGCATTTTTTACTCTATGGTTTTTACATTGCCATTTAGAGTGTTCAAAGTATCATTTAATAGTTCATTTCCTTTGATTCCCCCCATTGCCCTTTGACATTAGTAGAACAAGTATTTTTATTTTCATTTCACCAGGGTGGAAATCAAGGTTGAGTTACTTAAAAGTCCTGCTGAAGGTCACACCACCAAATAAATGAAAGAGCTCTGATTTTCACCCGGGTCATTTGACTCAGATCATTCCAAAATTATAAGCAGCCCATTCCAATGTCTAGTAAGCTATTAGTAGAGTAGAGGACAGGCCAATTTAATTATATTGGATGAAGGGAAAGTAACATGAAATGAACCCTAGTATTAACTGGAACCTGATTTCCTATCATTAAAGGAAGTTTCATCTTTCATCTGGCAAGTTAATCATAAATGCAACTTAGTTGAATGAATAAGATCTTTATGATTTTCATATCCAATTAAGTAAGAAAAGCAACTCATTGGCAAAAAAAAAAAAAAGCAAGTTGTATGTAAGTATGTGTAGAAGGCATTTGGATCTACTTAAAAATATATTCAAATAGGTGAAATTCAAACTATTATTAATTTGTAGAAAATGTTTTGGTTTTACAACTCTTTAAATTGCATGGAGACAGCCTTCCAAAAGCAAAGCCAATAGAGAAGATAACAGAACCTAGAGATGAAGGAAGGGAGACATCATGTGAATTCCAACTTGACAATAACTCAGTCTTTGGATTCTGTATTCCATGAACGGATGCATCTCCTTTGTTGCCTTCCCTAGTTTGAGTTGAGTTGCTGTCATTTGCAACCTAAGAGTCACCATCGCTATCATCATCATAATCATTATCATGTTGAGCGTAGATACCATAATTTACGTAGATTTCGTCATCTCTGAATGATTCCATTCATCATCATGAATGTTGAGCCCCAGATTCCATCAAAGATAGTAAAGGGGGCCTTGAAATATTCTGAGGCTTATAGAAGGATAAAGTAAACACCTAAGGTAATTGTGATGGATAGTGCTTGAAGTATCTGCTTTAGACTACCTTCTATCAGGCTGTGGTGAGCCCGAGTAATTGAAACTCCTAATAGCTTACTAGACCTTGAAATGGGCTGCTTATAATTTGGAATGATCTGAGTCAAATCATAGCGGTTTCTGCTCACTTTTTAAACTTTATAGAAAAACTTTTGCTACATCAGTCCTTTTGATTTTATAGTTTTCCATTATTTTTCAATCATGTTCTTTTTTGGTAATTCATGTTTTACAGACAACTTTCAAAAATACTTTAATTAATAGGGAACATGTGTTCTTAAGATCTTTCTCACCACTGAAAGAGCTTTTTAACAAATCTACTATGGTACCAAAATATATTGAAAAAAATATGAAAAGGAAAAGGCTAAAAATATTGGAAGCCACTCTGAACTTGGTAGAGGGGAAAATGAAGTGTCAGTAGGAAAAAAGCATGAAGACTTAGCAGTCTGAGTCATTCCTTCCTAGTAATATTTTCCCATTTCAGCGATCTCTAGAAAACATGTGGAATAGCACACTGACTAAAGTGATTCCTGCTAAGTTTTGAACTATGAAATTCTTGTCTTATAGAAAGAATATAAAAAAGATTTGGAAAATGAAATAAAAGGGAAAGGAATGGAACTTAATTCAGAAGTTCTTGACATCCAAAGAGCAAAGCGAGCCTCTGAAATGGTGAGTGAGGTGAGTATGTTTATTTAACACTTTAGATGAATATGTTTTTAGCTGATTTTCTTACCTGTCAACCTTTCTCAAAGGTTCTGTACATCCACAACTTTTATGTGTAAGTGATTGTAAACAGCTATATCCTTACAGTCTTTTCCTGGGCTATGAATTTTTTTTTAAACTTGCTGCTCATAATCCCCTATCTATGTGCTATGAGAAAAATGGCCATTTCCCCATTTTGGAGAAAATCTCTATAATAAACCAAAATAGTTTAGATTTAACTTTATCTTGTAAGCAGATAAAAGGCAGATGATTGGGAAGGTGTGTCATTATGGTCCATCAGCAACTGCAGGTAGAAAGTTCGCATGCTTTCCTGCTGATAACCCATCTGACTCTCCCAGTCTTGGCCTGGGCTGTGGAATGAATCTTGTTCAGCCTCTTTATCAAATGAAAGTGGTTTCTGCTCACTTTTCATGCACTTTAAAAGGAGAACTGAAATGTCTCTGAAGTGTTTTCAGTCTTATAATCCTTGTATTTTGTCATTACTTTGGGTCATATAATGTCACTGTGCTTTGAAGAGATTTTAGCTGAATTTAGCAGGGAAAGAGCTTAAAGCCTTCTCCCCATATTTTAATAGACTCTGATGATAATGATGACAGCTATGATGATGGTGATGGTGACTCAGGTTGCAAATGACAGAAACTCAACTCAAACTAGGGAAGGCAACAAAGAAGATGCATTCACTCATGGAATAGAAAATCCAAAGATTGAGTTACTGTCAAGTTGGAATTCACATGATGCCTCTCTTCCTTCATCTCTTGATTCTGTTATTTTCTCTGTTGGCTTTGCTTTTGGAAGACTGTCTCCATGCAATAAAACCTTTTAATAACAGGATAACTCATATCTATGGCCAGTAATCCTAGTGGGAAGTGAACATTCCTTTTTATAGTTCCAATTAAGTCTTAGGTCTGAATCTCCTTAGATGAATCGCTGTTCTGTACCTAATCATTGTGTCTGGGGTTGGGCAAGTAGAATGTGCTGATCATCCTCTCATGACCACCCATTTGTTGAGGTAGTTTAACAGTGTCTTATATAAAACATTCTAAATTTTTATGTGTTTAAAATATCACCTTAATCTCGGCTATGTTCACTATCTTTAAATAAAGGAAACATTTAAAAGGCACTTTAGTAGAATTAAAAATATATGTGGGGAGGAGGGAGGTGATGGAAATCAATCCTTCCCAAGGGTATGGATTGAGAGAACCTAGAGGTCATTTCCCAAAAGACAACCATGGAGCTTTTTGCCAGAAGAAGGGAGGAATGGATGCTGGTAGGCTATAAACAACATATGCCCATGGTGAGGTCTGTGGCTAACATTGTCACCACATTATCCCTACATTAGTCATTTTCTGCAAATTCCGTCACAATGACATGTCCGATGCACATGCAGAGATTGTCTTGTAATTACTTGTCAGTAGCACGTGTAAAAGTTGTTTTATTCTCTCAGTAGCAAAGTGCAGACAGATGCAGTTGAATGGGAGGATGGCAGCAGGCGCAGTGTTAATTGGGCCTTATTAGGAGAAGGAAGGACTGGCCTAGGAGAATAAGATTAAAAAACTAGAAGAAGGTGTCAGGTATTGATCACCTTATCTGTGCTGAGCTCTGTGCTGTAGAGTCTCACTGATTCTTAAAATGGATCCTACATGGAGGTACAGACATACCGTGGAGATACTATGGGTTCAGTTCCAGACCACTATAATAAAGCAAATATCACAATAAAGTGGGTCACATGAACTTTTTGGTTTCCCGATGCATATACATGTTGTGTTTATACCATACTGTAGTCTAAGAAATATGCAGTAGCCTTATATCCAAAATACATCCCTATCTTAATTAAAAATACTTTATCAATAAAAGTGCTAATGATTATCTGATCCTTCAGCAAGTGGAAATCTTTTTGATGGTGGAGGGTCTTGTCTCTATGTGGATGGCTGCTGACTGATCAGGGTGGTGGCTGCTGAAGGTTGGGATGACTGTGGCCATTTCTTAAAATAAGACAACAATTAATGTGAAGTTTGCCACATTAATTGCCTCTTCCTTTCATGAAAGATTTCTCTGCAGCATGTGATGCCGTTGATACATTTTACTCTCAGTAGAGCTTTCAAGATTAGGGACCATCCTCTCAAACCCATTGATGTTTTATTGACAAAATTTACGTCATATCCTAAATCCTTTGTTGTCATTTCAACAGTGATCACAGCATCTTCACAAGAATTTAATCTTAAGAAACCATGTTCTTTGCTTGCCCATCGGAAGCAACTTCTTATCCATTCAAGTGTGATCATGAGATGGCAGCAATTCAGTCACATTTTCAATCTCTACTTCTAATTCTAGTTCTCTTGCTATTTCCACTGCATCTGCAGTTGCTTCCTCCACTGAAGTCTTGAACTTCAAATTCATCCATGAGAGTTGAAGTCAACTTCTTCCAAACTTCTATCGATGTTGATATTTGGTGCTTCTCTCATGAATCACAAATGTTCTTAATGGCATCTAGAATGATGAATCTTTTTCAGAAGGTTTTCAGTTTACTTTGCCCAGATTCATCAGAGGAATCATGATCTCTGACAGCTATAGCCTTATGAAATGTATTTCTTAAATAATAATCCTTGAAAGTAAAAATTTTCTTTGATCCATGGACTGCAGAATGGATGCTGTACAGCAGGCATGAAAACATTAATATTCTTATACATCTTTATCAAAGCTCTTTGGTCACTAGGTGCCTTGTAACTAAACATTAATATTTTCAAAGGAATTTTTCTTTTCTGAGCAATAGGTCTTGGCAGTGGGCTTCAGATATTCAGTAAACCATACTTAAACAAATGTGCTGTCATTCAGGCTTTGTCGTTCCATTTATAAAGTGCAGGCAGAGCACATTTAGCATAATTCTAAAGACCCTAGGATTTCCAGAATGGTAAGTGAGGATTGGTTTTAACCTAAAGTCACCAGCTGCATTAGCCCCTGATAAGAGTCGGCTTGTCCTTTGAAGAATTGAAGTGAGACACTGACTTTTCCTCACTAGCTATGGAAGTCCTAGATGGCATGTTCTTCCGATAGAAGGCTGTTTTGTCTGCACTGAAACTCTGTAGTTTAGTGTAGCTACCTTCATTAATCATCCTAGCTACATAGGGACTTTTAACATGAGGACAGTAGTCATTTCTGTGTGATTGCATGTTCTTAAAATAGCCTTCGTTGACATGATCAGCATGCATGATATTTCTACACAGTCAGCATTTTGGGTGGAGGTCTGATATATCCTGAATGACCATGTTCATTCATCTAACACCATTTTTCTCTTCATGGGATACAGGATATTGATTTAGAAGTTTTGTCTTAAATTCTATAACAGGATGGATATCATATCACAAGGTTGTAGGAGTCAGACCATATGCATATTTTTCAAAGGAAGTACCCCAGAACTTTCTCCATAGCTCTTGAACTTTCCCTGCAAGTCTGAGAATATAAAATAATCTCTGGAGTAAAGAGGATTTGGGATGTGATGATTTTATAAAAAGTGTATGTGAAGAAAATAGGGTGCAGGTGAAGGGGTCCTGCTCACTTATCTTGAGGCTGGTTATGTGGGGGCTTCAGTGGGGTACTCTGAGACCTGTTGTATGACATTTGCACTTGGGAAGAGCTGACTCAGGACTGACACCTTGCAGGAAATCAGGAAGGCTAGATGTATAGCTGCTTAGCTGCTAGGGGAGTTACTATTGTTTTGAAAATAACTGACATCCCCAGGGTTAGGCACTGGCTAGGGAAATGGGATTGCCATGATTGATTAAGACAAAGGCAGTGGAGATGGTATAGATTTCCTGATCAATAAAGGTTCCATTTTGAAGTGGTAGCCAGGGGTGGACAGCCAGGAACACGAGGAACAAGAACTTGAAAATCTCCTTTAATCCCTTTCCTACTTCTGTTCTCCTCCTGAGAGATAGTCATTGTTATAAGTTTGTTAAGGAACCTTCCAAATCTGTTCTATGTGTATCTGGAGAAACATACACTTGTACACACAGAGACTTAAAAGTCTTAAATGGGGTCATACCATATACTGTGTTCTGTGTGTGTTTGTTTTTTCACTTTATATTATGCATCTTTTTTCATGTTCCTTCTGATAGGCCTACCTCATTCTTATAGAAGAATTGAGTGTTCTATAACATGGATGTGAATGTGTGACTATTTATTTTTGTTGTCTACAGGGAAATGTCTGATGGGATCTCAACATTTTAGATCAAAACTAGAACCTGAATTTCCCCCCAGGTTAGCTTTCCGCCATCTGCTTCTCAGCAAATGGCACCAACAAAAGCATAGAAGTCACTTTGATTCCTCTCACTGGCATGCTTTCAGTATTGATGCCACTCCCATAGTGATGGTCTAAGTCCATCTCTTTCTCGCCACCCTAATCCAGCCACCATCTCTAGCCTCTAGATCATTGCCATACCTTCCTAACTAAAATTCTGCTATTATTGCCCTCCTAGTAGACATTCTCAACCCAGCAGAAGAAGAATCCTTGAGGGAATTAAATGAAATTTTGTTACTCTCCTCACCTGCAATTCTCTAGTGGTTTCCTGTCACATCCAGTGTAAATTGATACACCTGGCTCTGGTGAAGTCTGCACTTTTAGGCTGAGAGTCTAAATCAATAAAACCCCATAAAATAAAAATAATAAAAATCTTATTTGCATATAATCATAGTCATGTTTCATTCTGCCTAAATGACAGGCTCAGATCCTTTTTAACCAATGTTTGGCACTTTGCCATAGTTTATTTTTAATATCAAAAGTTTATTTTTCAAGTAAAGTCAATGGATCATATTGTGACACAAATGACCCTCAACGGACAAGCCTTCCTACATCTCTGGGCTTGACCATGTGACTTTCTTTAGCCAATGAGACATCAGCAAATGTGACTCAAGCAGAGGCTAAACACAGTTCTGCATTAGGGTTTGCCGTGTTGGAACGTAGATGCCACCATGTTGTTGTTTTAAACCTTCTAAGTTTTGGGGTGTTTTGTCAGGCAGACAATGAATAACTGATGCAAAGGATGTCTAATGTAGTCTATGTGCTTTAGAACACGTTTACATAATTACATTTGAAAGTTCATATTGGAAAATTGTTACTCCTTCTACCATGGCACCTTGGTGGCTGTTATCAGTGCCTCAATTTCATTATGTATGTTGGCCTCCAAGTGAAATGTTTTGTTTTGGGGCTTTAAACAGGATGACTAAGACAGAGTGCTTTTTATAGACACAGTAATAATTGAATCTTATTATTTTGAAAGTTAAACATAATTATGTAAACTTTTATTTAGAAAAGTGATACTGGGAGTATAAGTCAGTGAAAACAGGAAGATTTATGAGTGGAACACAGGAGGAAAAATACTCCAAGATTGAGTTTTTTGTTTACCACTTATCTAAATTTAGAGAATGTACTAATAAGCAAACCAACATTTACTTTGCAGCAGAGAATCTACAAATCTGGAGTGTGTCAGCATAATAGGAAATAATTGTTTTCAAACAAATTTAGTTGGATATAATCATTTTTAATAACATTTTTCTTTGAAGAATAATATCCAGAAAATGCAAATTTATATATGTACAGCTTGCTGAATTTTATAATCAGTTTTCAAATGTGACAAAAGTTCCTAAAGATGTGTGTCTGTGCAATTATGACTATCTTGTAAGCAGTAGGTAATCCAGTTCCAACTGGCTTAAAAGAAAAAACACAGATAACTTGTTTGTTGTTCTTATGATTGAACAGTAGAGAAATTCCTAGGCACAGCTTGATCTAGCACTCAAATAATGAGATTTAGTTTCATTTTCTATCTTTCAGTTCCTAGGTAGGCTTTCTTGTTTGCAAAGAGGCTTCCAGAAACTCTTAATGTTAAAAAAAAAATGCATGCATCCAGGAACCAATTCTGCAGTGTAGGTGATGGAGTATAATGATTTATTTAAGCCCAGCAGAGCCTAGAGATTTGGGCCAGTCTCACCCAAGCCGATGGTTTAGGAACGGGGAGCATTGAGTTGTCCATTGGCAAATCAGGAAGCCAATGAAGTGAATAGAAGGGGTAGATTCCAGAGAAGCAACCAAACACTTATTTACTACAGTGTGAAAAACAGCACTTTTACAATCACTCTTGACTGACACTTGACTGAACCATATATGATCCAGTAATATATCAAGCTTATATCGAAATGTAAGAATTTCCCCTTGGCTAGATCTGTTTTTTCTTCTTCTTAATTCAGATTAAGCTGAATTAAGAATTGTTAAAATCCTGATTAAGAAATAAAAAAAAAAAGTAGAAAGTCGTCTGATTACTGGTGAATAAGTTACTCTAAGTCATGTTCCTACCGCAAGTAAAACTTTCTTATTCTATAGAAATAAAATAAATAAGATTCAACTTAATTCCAGAAGACATGGTCTTGATGTCAAAATGATGTCTCAATGTTTGAGCAGTTTTTCAAATGATTGGCGAGCACTAACTCTTTCATTTCTGCAGAAAGACTATAAAAGAGATCTGGAGACTCAAATTAAAGGCAAAGGGATGCAGGTGAGCACAGACACTCTTGATGTCCAGAGAGCTAAGAAAGCATCCGAGATGGCCAGCCAGGTAAGACAGCAGTGAGATACAGAGTTGAAAACAAATGTCTTGAATCATAGCTGGAAAGAGCACGTGTTCTTTCCACATGGGTGGCTTTGAGATTCAAACACATAAATTTCGACATTTCTATTAAAGCTTAAGCAAAACTCTAAGATTATTTTCTGTTCCATTAGAAACAATACAAAAAGGACTTAGAAAATGAAATTAAAGGGAAAGGAATGCAAGTGAGCATGGATATCCCAGATATCCTTCGAGCCAAGAGGACATCTGAAATCTATAGCCAGGTTGGTCAAGAATGAAGATGCTCAGAACTGTGTATTCCAGTGTCATATTGCCATGTGCTTTGTATGTCTCTATGAATGATATCTTTCTGAGGGCATTGCATTCAGGGTTAGTGTACTCTTTCACTAAAACCACTGGCCAAACTCGATTAACCTTACTAATTAATAGGACAGTTGTCATAGATTCAATTCAGTAGACATTATGGAAAGCTACAGCCTCTTTGTTGGGGCTCCTTGTTTTGAGTCCAAGGACATTAAAACTTTTTTTTTGTTTGTTTTGTTTGAGATGGAGATCTCACTCTTTCACCCAGGCTGGAATGCAGTGGCACCATTGTAGCTTGCTGCAACCTCAAACTCCTGGGCTGAGGCGTATCTTTCTGCCTCAGTGGGCATGAGCCATTGAGCCCAGCCTAAGAACATTTTAACCTTTTCTTTTTCGACCCCATTCCACTTGGCTTGAATGCTTTTTGCTCGTTCCACAGAGAAATAAATTACAAACAATTTGCCTTTTAACCATTTCATAATGAATATTAGTATTAAGATAGCTCCAGATAAAACTAACAGTGGCTCAAGCTGCACAAGGTATAAAGTTTAAGTAAAAATTGGGAACAGCTAAGTTTTCTCGGTGAAATTTAGATTTGTCAAATATACTAGTCCCATGTTCTGTAAACAAAACTGGATGTGGTAGAAGTAATAACCACAAAAAAAATTCATGGAAGAAGAATTTACTTATAAAATCTGATCTGGGCAAAAGCATTCATTAGCAAATAATACCTTTGCTATAACATTTACTAAAAAATAATGACTCCCAATAGGAAAAAAATAGCAGAAGGAATGAAAAAAATGAAGATTGTTATGAAAATTGACCATAGAATTAAATTTGATTAATGGAGTTTATGCAGAAAGGAATGTATAACAACATTTGGTGAAATTTGTTAAAATTCTGATTAAGACATAGGAAGGACATTAAGATATTGTCTGGGTTGTATTAGAGCTCATACTAGGTCGTTTAGTGGAGAGAAAAGTAAGATTTTAATCTCAACTTCAAAATATTGGCAACTTTCCCTTAACCAAATGTATCTTTACTTGAAGTAGGAAGCAAAGCATAAATCCAAAAGCTTTGTGGTATGGTAGAGATCAAAGAATGGTATCATTCTATCTCTACCTCTCTGCCTCTCTCTCTTTCTGTCTGCCTGCCCCCCCCCCCCCCCCTCCCCCCCTCTCTCTCTCTCTCTCTCTCTCTGTCGTCTCTCTGTCTCTCATGCGTGGATGCGTGCCCACATGCACACAATTTCAGATTTATATCAACTGTTTATATTTTTAGAGAAAGTATAAAGATGAAGCAGAGAAGATGCTTTCTCACTATTCTACAGTAGCAGATACTCCTGAAATTCAGAGAATTAAGACAACTCAACAGAACATTAGTGCAGTGAGTAGCCATTCTTTCTTTTCAGTTGCCTCCTTGAAATTTTGTTTTGTAAGAAATAGGTTTTTTTAATCATTGTCTGATTTTTTTTTTGCATTACTTGAATTTTCTGTCAAGTTGTATTATCTTTATTTCCTTAAAGTAATAAGAATACTGATAATTTTTACAAATTATCACTTATAATTGTTTTGGAATTACAAATTCAAGTTTTCCTCTTTGGTACAAATAACAGTTAATAACTAATTTTTAAAATTTAACACAGGAAAGAAGTCTTAGTCTTCTACACAGATTTTACTTTGACGATGAAAATAGTCATATGAAGTGACTTTATTCCTGATTATTGATTGTTTATAATGATATGATATCTAGGGATTTCCTCATTCTTAATACATTTCTAAACTTCTCTATGTTTATTTTGTGGAAGAGGAATTGCGTCAGTACTATTTTTTTGAACTTTTAAGTTCAGGAGCACATGAACAGGTTTTTACATAGGTAAACTTGTGTCATGGGGATTTGTTATACAGATTATTTTGTCACTCAGGTATTAAGCCTAGTACCTATTAGTTATTTTTTTCTGATCATCTCCCCTCCCCACAGCTCACCCTCTGATAGGCTTCTGTTTGTGTTGTTCCCCTCTAGGTGTCTATGTGTTCTCATCGTTTAGCTCCCACTTACAAGCGAGAACATGCAGTATTTGGTTTTCTCTTCCTGCATTAGTTTACTGAGTATAATAGCATCTAGCTCCATCATGTCCCTGCAAAGGCCGTGATCTCATTCTCTTTTATGGCTGCATAGTATTCCATGATGTATATGTACCACATTTTCTTTATCCAGTCTGTCATTGACGGGCATTTAGATTGATTCCATGTCTTTGCTATTGTAAATAGTGCATCAGCACTATTAATTAAGAGGCTGGGTCCATGATTATTAAATGTACAAACTTCTAAAATTGTGAAAATTGATCACACAACGAATATTTTAATGTAGAATTAGCTTAGTCATAATAGTTAAGTAAGCATCTCATCAAAATGTAAATTCTAATAAATATGAGGACTTCTGGAATATCTTCTACCTTCCAATTAGTTGGCAAGCGCCAGCTCTCAGGGTAGGCTGGTCAGCTGCCCACTAGGTATCCACAAGGATGGCCAGGCTGTGCTTAGAAATGGGAAAGTCTTGCTGGAAGGACCAGGAAAGGAGGCTGTGCAATTCCATAGTGTTCTAGAGTTCTAGCTTTTAAAAGGAAGAAAACATCTCTCCTACTGTGTTCTCCCACCAACGCAGGGGCCACTAGATTACCCAGTATCAAGAGAAGGAGTAATTTTGTCCTCCTTTGCTTTTCTTATAATTACTCTGTTTTTCTGCAGAGTACTCTTGTGTTTCTGTTCTGTTTTGGGTTTAGAAGGGGTAGATGTTAGTAGGGGTGGAAACACATGGGATAGAGATAACAAATGAAGATGAAGAAAATAGACTTGTAATTAACATTGATATTGATGATGAGCTAATATTTTCTTGGAAGAGAATGTGGGCATCCTTGTGTCTGGAGAATGGAAGTTGCCTAAAATGTCATGCTGTTTTTGAATTCAGTGATAACAGCTTAATGGGCTTTTGTAATATCTGCTTTGATTTTTCTCAAATACACATGTGAAATATATTTGAAGAAAGGAACTCTGGCTTGCCAATTGTATTATTTTATTTTATTTATTTTATTTTTTGAGTCTCACTCTGTTGCCTAGGCTGGTGTGCAGTGGTGTGATCTCGGCTCACTACAACCTCTGCCTCCGTGTTCAAGCGATTCTCTGCCTTAGCCTCCTGAGTAGCTGTGACTACACGCATGCACCACCACACCCCACTAATTTTTTTGTATTTTTAGTAGAGATGGGGTTTCACCATTTTGGCTAGGCTGGTCTCAAACTCCTGACCGCATGATCCACCTGCCTCAGCTTCCCAAAGTGCTAGGATTCCAGGCATGAGCCACTGTGCACGGCCGCCAATGTGTATTCTTAAAGCAAATAATCTGCAGTCAACCAGGGTAGCTGTCTAGCCCTAGAACAGGTAGTAGAGGGTTACTTGTAAGATTAGGGGTATAAACCCAAAGTTGGACATATATTACTGGATTATTTAATTGGTTCCTATAATGGCAGCACTCATAAATAGATGCAGTATTCGCATTATTATAAAACCTGCGAATTTGTCTTCCTAAGGAGTGGATCTAGGACTTGAATTCTGACAAGCTTGATTATTCTTTTCCTTTTCTTATAATAAAGGTATTTTATAAGAAAGAAGTAGGAGCTGGCACTGCAGTAAAAGATACCCCAGAGATTGAACGAGTGAAGAAAAATCAGCAGAATATTAGTTCAGTAAGTTATCTACAGCATTAGTTATCTTTTCTAAAAGCAAACAGAAACTATAGATAAATGCTTTTAGTTCTTTACTCAACTGATGGCTTTTTTAACTTTTATTCTTCAATTTATTGAAATGCTATTTCATCATAAATCAAAGATCTAACTTTCAGAACAAAAACTGTATCCTTGTTCCCCTGGACGCTGAAGCAGTGTTTCATTGTGATATATCACAGTGAAGTAGAGTAAGGTCATTTTAATGAAACCTAGGATTAGATTTCATCTCTTTGAAGAGAATTTTAACTCTATCAAATTTTGCATAGAAAGGATACATTTCAGTGCCTCTCTACAAGTTGGAAGAAAGAAATTTTCCCCTGATAGAATGATTAAAGGCCCCAGAATATTTATTTGGCAGCTTAAGCAAAGGTTTAGATTTGAAAAAGCAAATAGTACCAATTCGTTTTTAACCAATGTCAGTCACATCTCTAAGCTTTTTCTCAGACACACTTCTGCCCATTTCTGCTTTCCAGCCCCCTTTACCTTCTGCTTCTTCCAGCAAAAACAAAAACAAATGACACACCTGCACTGTAAATTGTAAAATAACCTGCTCTCCAATTACCTTTGGACTGGGGGAAGGGTCCTCTTCTGATAGAGGGTCCTTCTAACATTGAGGTGCCTAATGTTATGGCTAAAATTTTTTCCATTGAGTGTTTGACATTTGCAATGTATAATTGCTCTCCTTACCAATTAGATATTCTCCCATATATATTTTGTACATTTATTTTATTTTATTTTATTTTATTTTGAGACAGAGTCTTGCTTTGTTGCCTGGGCTGGAGTACAGTGGTGTAAGCTCAGCTCACTGCAACCTCTGCCTCATAGGTTCAAGAGATTCCTCTGCCTCAGTTTCCCAAGTAGCTGGGATTACAGGTGCACACCACCATGCCTGGCTATTTTTTTTTATTTTTAGTAGAGATGGGGTTTCACCATGTTGGCCAGGCTGCTCTCGAACACCTGACCTCAAGTGATCCTCCCGCATCAGCCTCCCAGAGTGCTGGGATTATAGGTGTGAGCTACTGGGCCTATCTAGTACATTTAGTTTCTTGTTGATGAAGTAAAAAGGATTCGTTCTTTATTTTATTTTTATTTTTTTTTTTGAGACGGAGTTTCACTCATGTTACCCAGGCTGGAGTGCAATGGCGCAATCTCGGCTCACCGCAACCTCCGCCTCCTGGGTTCAGGCAATTCTCCTGCCTCAGCCTTCTGAGTAGCTGGGATTACAGGCACGCACCACCATGCCCAGCTAATTTTTTGTATTTTTAGTAGAGACGGGGTTTCACCGTGTTGACCAGGATGGTCTCGATCTCTTGACCTCGTGATCCACCCGCCTCGGCCGTTCTTTAAATCCCTGTCTCTGACTTATCTGTTCATCTTCACCCTTGGAAAGAGTACCTTCCCTTTAAGTACTCTTAGCAGAATGGCATTGATTAGACTCATCTGTGGGTCACTTGGTCGTTATGCAGCATCCTGAGAATATCAGTGTAGGCCAGCATTTGTGAAGAAAGTGTAGGAGAGGTAAGAGAATGCATTAGTAAAGCATGCTTCAAAATGAAAGTATAAAAAGTCTGCAGAATATATGAGTGCAATAAAACCTTTGTAGCATGCATGGAGCTATCTCCTGAAGAAAGCGCAAAGAGGACCAAGGCTTAAGGTGTGGATGAGGGTGAATGAATGTGTTCTTCTGATCTTTCGTGGTGAGAGCCTGTGTCAGTCTGGTAGAGAAATTAGTTTGGGAGAGAAGTATGAAATGTTTGTTTCCTTCACTTTCCAATGATAATATTTAAAATGCACCCATCGATGTACTGTAACTTAATAGTATAAATATTCTGTAGTGTGTAATTCTATAGACTACAGTGAAATAGCTCTGCTGTATGGATTAGAGTCCCTTCGAAAAACAAAAATGTTCATCTTTAATCATGTTAAGCTTCTCACCAGAGAAAAATCCCACAAAGTATTACAGTATATCGTTTACTCTCTCAGCATCCCACAGCCTCTTCTAGCAAATAAATGCATAGTTCTGTATCTCCATGAGGTTGGGCCATAAACTCCTGCTTAGTATTCAAATGGAAAGTTGCCCTTTTAAGATTAGCTAGATCTGTCAAACCAAGATATGATTCTCTAACATTTAAAGATCTCGACATTTTCCACCTCCAGAGTACAAGCCTTTCAGGTGTTAGCTCTCTGTGTTAAGAACTATTTTTGAATTTTATTTAGAGGTAGCCTGTCTCGGTGAATGTGCAGTTTAACTGTTTTGGGTCTGGACTAATTTTGGCGTTGTTACTTATAGGAAATCCACAGATACTAAGATGCAGATATCTCAGATATTTAGGTATTGTTTCTTTATGACATTCTGCATGGATTTCAGCCTTAATCATTTGAAACATTACCAAGCGACTTCTGAAACATGTTTCATGTAGATTTAAATCTTTGCTTAATTTCAATACAGGCCTCGTAAGTTGAGCCTGTGCTTTCATATGTTTACATATATATGTATTCTTTTCCTCAAATCCAATCTTCCATGAATTCTAGACATATTAAAATACCAGCTGAAGTGACAGCATCACTAATCATTTTATAAGTCCAAAGAACTCTTTCTTGTCCCATGTGTGACTATGTGTTCGTATTACCATTTGCCTGATTGATATTCCTCTAAATAGATTTGAAGGGAGAGATTTTGTGTGAAGTAGAAGACAGGATAAAGGTGAGCTTTTCCTAATGTGATTGTGTGGATAACAGACACTTCTGACTTTCTGGCACTGACCTTGCTTATAGTCATGCAGAACCCAGTGGTCTATGCTTTTAGTACATTTCCTTCCATTTCCCTTTTTCTCTTCTTTTATTGTGCTGACTTAATTTTTTTCCTTATTCTAGATTATTTACGTGCTCTCAGTCAGACAAGCAATATTTCCCACACTCTGTGGCTAACTCATTTTGACTTTTGCCTTTAAATACATGTTAAATTTTAATTACCATGTTAATAGAAACTGCTTTTCAGATAGAAAATAATCACATTATTTAAGATAATTTACAGGGTTTTTTTCCTGCATATGCCTAATGATAAAATTTATTTTCATAGGCAACCTTTGCTTATTTTAATTAAAAAACTCCTATAGTGATGAACAGGTGAATAGATGTGGATTTATTTGTACCTTAGGAATAAGGAATCCTAAAAATATCAGATAAAATTAAGAATTGTGTCCCCAATGAAGGAAAAGTAATGTTGGAATTAATAAAATTCAATTATACAATAGTTAGAAATGAAGAATTCTCAATGATTTTAAAGCCTTGCATAGAATAAAGTTAACATTATATTCTTATAATTATGCAGGTGAAATACAAAGAAGAGATTAAACATGCAACAGCCATTTCTGATCCTCCAGAACTAAAGAGAGTCAAAGAAAACCAGAAGAACATCAGCAATGTGATCATATTTCTTAAGTATTTTTAAAAAATATTTTATTGTATTTCAACATATAATGATGGCATAAAACGAGTACAGGCGAAATCTCATCACAGTGAATCCCCATTGCAAGAGGATTGGTTCCTCTAGCATTTTACACAGCTTTATGCCCTCCGGGACACTTTAATCATTCTTACTGAGGAAGGGATTATTCATTATTACTCATAAGATCAAACTCAGAGAGGCCACCAATAAATAATACAATCTCAAGGAAAACAATGAAAGATGTGATTTAAAATATTTGATAAAAGTTGGGTGTAGTGGCTCACACCTGTAATCCCAGCACTTTGGGAGGCCCCAAGTTGGGAGGATGGCTTGAGCTTGGGAGGTTGAGGCTGCAGTGAGCTGTGATGATGCCATTGCACTCCAGCCTGGGCAACAGAGCAAGACCTTGTCTCAAATATAAAACAACAGCAGCAGCAAAACGATTTGACAAGGAAAAGACTGGCATTGCCAAGAAGATAAAATCTGTAAGCTGTATATATTTCACTTTGAAATCCTGATGATGATTTTACTAATAAATGTTCTGTGGTCATGTGACATTTAAAAAAACCTGTTCCATTGTTTTGGGATGCATTTATCTCCCATAATCTCTAACTGTCTTGCACCTTGTCTCTCAGCTCCAGTATAAAGAGCAAAACTACAAGGCCACTCCAGTAAGCATGACCCCAGAGATAGGGAGAGTGCGGCGGAACCAGGAGCAGCTGAGTGCGGCAAGTTGTTTCTGTTTCTTTTTATATTTTCTCAAACAGAACATACTTTTATTTAAAAATATTCCCTGCGGAAGGCCATTATCCTTAGCAAACTAACACAGAAATAGAAAACCAAATACTGCATAATGATGAGAGCTAAATGAGGAGAACACACGGACACAAAGAGGTGAATAACAGACACTGGGCCTGTTGGAAGGGAGAGAGTGGGAGGAGGGAGAGGATCAGGAAAAGTCACTATTGAGTACTGGCCTTAATGCTGGGGTGACAAAATACTCTGTACAACAAACTCGTGTAACACGAGTTCACCTGTGTAACAAACCTGCACATGTACCCCTGAACTTAAAAGTTTAAAGAATGAATTTGAACCACATGCAATTATATGGATGAATCATATAATATGAAAAAGTGAATTTCATGCAGCGTTAACTCTTTTGTAAAGTTCAACAACTGCAATATTAATGATGATGATAAATGGAGTATCTCCAGATTTAATGAAACTATGAAACTATCTAAAAATTAAAAAAGGAACAGCTTTACATCCTCTGCATTTTTGGATGGTCCTTTTCACATTTCCTTGTTGAAGGGCATGAACTGTGTGTCCAGGAAATTTGGGACTGTGTTGCTGTAACTTAGCTGTGTTTGCTTATTCAACAAATCTTCATTAAGATATCTTACCCAAATGTACTGGGCATTGTCCTGGTCATCTAGACACAAAGATGGATAAAACCCACTTGCTGTCCTCAAGGAACTCATAGTTCATTTGGGAAATCTCTTAAAAAAATGCCGTTAATGGAGAATGTGGAACTGATATCAATATGAAAAGGAAAAAAAAAAATATCTATTGGAACAGGGCGAAAGAAGACCTGGCTTGACTGGCTTTCTAAGATGTGGTGTCAAGTCAAAGAACCTTATAAGTTAAATGGAAAACATTTTTCAATCTTTCAATAAACTGTTGTGAATAAAGCAACAATAGTTAACAAGGCACCTCGGCTGTGTACTGGGCCCTGTGCTGATGTTCTGTGAAAACCAATGAGGTCAGCACTGTTTGTTTCTCTCGTTGGTAGATATGAGAAACTGAGTCTTGGGGAGGTCAGAGGACATGTTGTGTCCCCCCCCCACGCCCACCACCTCCAGCTAGTAAGGGCAGAGCTGAGATTGAAACATACTGAACATATTGTTGAACTTTCACCAATACAATCAAAAGCCTTCTTTTTCTAAAACAGGTACTTTTGAAAGACTTTGTAAGAGCAAGTTCTCCGGGGTGGAGATAATTAGGCTCCACACTGTTTATCCTCATAATATCCCTGGGAGGTGGTAGAAGTCAGAAAGCTTTAGCTTCTATAGAAGGCAGAAGCCCCAGGGTCAGAAAGAGAGTTAAAAGCCTTCCGGGGGCTGGGTGCCGTAGCTCTTGCCTGTAATCCCAGCACTTTGGGAGGCTGAGGCAGGTGGATCACCTGAGGTTAGGAGTTCAAGACCAGCCTGGCCAACATGGTGAAATCCCATCTTTACTAAAAATATAAAAAATTAGCTGACTGATGGTGGGTGCCTGTAATCCCAGCTGCTTGGGAGGCTGAGGCAGGAGAATTGCTTGAACCTGGGAGGTGGAGGTTGCAGCGAGCCAAGATTGCACTATTGCACTCCAGCCTGGGCAACAAGGGCGAAACTCCGTCTCAAAAAGAAAAAAAAAAATGGGGGTCCTTTTAGGCTGACAGGGAATGGACTTCACTAGAATTCTCTTGTAATAACTTTATTCTGGTGTTTCTTTTAAAGCATGTTACCTTATGATTCCATTATTTTTATTTGTGGAATTTATGCTTAATTTTGATATTGAAGAGGAAAGCGTTTATTGAACACTCCTATTTAAACAGCACCACTAACAGCTTGTGGTTGCTAAGCCAGTCCCATTGGAATGTGGGCGTAGATGTAAACATGAAGGTTGATGTAATCAACTGTGACAAAAAATATGTAAAATATATTGTTAACTTTGAGCCTCTTCCTCTGTGGCGTTTTAGTGGAGCCCATTCTGCTCTCTGTTAAAGTTCTTATTTATCCTTCATAGGTAAAGTACAAGGGAGAACTTCAACGGGGAACTGCAATTTCTGATCCACCAGAGCTGAAGAGGGCGAAAGAAAACCAGAAAAACATCAGCAATGTGTGATCATCTTTGTAATTTTTTTCTTACGCTGTCAAATGTATTGTCCCTGTGTGAACAAGGGGATCGTATTTACCGAATTTTCATAACCTTGAGCTGATATCCTGTTCTCATTTGACTAACAACTTACTTGAAAGGTTTCAGGAACTTCGGTATTGGGGGTACAGTCAGGTGTTCCCCACCTCAGTGTTCCCATGACTCACCAGGATGACTTCTTTTTTCTTTTTTTGAGATAGGGTCTTGCTTTCTCACCCAGGCTGTATTTAGCGGCACAATTTGACTCACTGTAACCTTCGCCTCCTGGGTTCAAGTGATCCTCCCACCTTAGCCTCCCAACTAGCTAGGATTACAGGCACATGTCCCCACACCTGGCTAATTTTTGTATTTTTTGGAGAGACGGGGTTTCACTGTGTTGCTCAGGCTGGTCTGAAACTCCTGAGCTCACGCTTTCCACCCATCTTGGCTTCCCAAAGTGCTGGGATTACAGCCCACGGTGACTTTTTTTGACAGGTGGTTGTGTATCCCTTCTATCTTGTTATCTAGCCGATGGGTGATGTGGTCCCCCCAAGGTCCACAGTTGTAGCTTCTGGCATCTTGGCCCTGCAATCAAACCTTTTCCCTCCCTTTTCTGTCTGTATGCGTTTTTGTTATTGTACTTCCTCCCAGCCCTACCTTCCACTCCCCACAATTATGACTCCATTTTTAGGCAACATCTAGGAAGAAATGATAATGTTTGCATGGCTGAATAGGTTATATGGGACAGGACCATTTTGGGGGCACTTAATAACGGGCTGGCAGTTTTTACCTAGATAACAACTTGTGGCCTGCTCCAATTTCCTGTTGTTGATATAATTCATGGTTGCAGTTCACGGAGAAAATCCTCTTTTAAAGTCATTAACATATAGATTGTGTTCTTTGGAAGAGGAAATTTGGAAATCTATTACCTTCAAAGAAATCTTTTATTCTTCACACCTTTAAAGTCGTTTAACCAGTTTATAATGCAAAGGCAGGGAATTGTTTGACACTTTTCCTAACAACTTTATTTTAGAGAAGTAGAGGCTCTTTCTCCCATATATTTAGAGTCACACTTGATGTGACTCCATTACTCTCAAAAAGGAACATGGTTATTGAGACAAGGAATGGACCAGTAAGTAGCATGCTGACTTTTTTTTTTTTTTTCATAGAGAGAAAATGTTTAATACTATCTCTTAAAAATGTTTTGCCAGGAATGTTCATGAGTTGGAACAATAATCAGTTGGGTATTGATTTCAGATAAAAAATATTCATGCTGACTTTTTAAAGGATGCCCACAGTCATCTATTTAAACACATCTTTACAAAAATTCTGCCACAGTTAATTCCTAAGAAACCATGACCATATAGTACCATCTATGGTGAATACTTTTAAGTAATATCCACGAAGACATTTATTCTCATTTTCTTTTGTGATTAAAGACTTAATGTAACTTTACTGATGGTATGCCTATATATTTGAGTACATCCACAGTGATTTGGACACATGTACTCTTTTATGGGAGGAAATGAAATAGATTGATTTAAGATGCCAGCATTTTAAATACGACTCGACCTCTGAAATATCATCATTTTTTGTAGTTTCCTACAAAAGTTTCTTGGTTAATGCATTAAACTAAATACTATGAGCCAGGCACAGTGCCTGTGGATTGTCATCCCAGCACTTTGAGAGGCTGAAGTGGGTGGATCACTTGAGCCCAGGAGTTTCAGATCAGTTTGGACAACATGGCGAAAGTCAGTCTCTACAAAAATACAAAAATTAGCCAGGCAATCTCAGCTACCTCGGAGGCTGAGGTGGGAGGATTGCCTGGGCCTGGGAGGTCAAGGCTGTGGTGAGGAGAGATTGCACCACTGCAGTTCATCCTGGGTGACAGAGCAAGACCCTGTCTTAAATAAATAAGTCTCTTAGTTGAATTGATTCCCAGTATTCTATTTTTTTTGTTCTCTGAAATGATAGGTTTATTACAAAGGTCAGCTGGGAAGAGCTACTGCTTTAAGTGTAACCCCTGAAATGGAAAGAGTGAAGAAGAATCAAGAAAATATTAGCTCGGCAAGTGGTTTTCTTCATTTTAGACTATCACAAAGGATATGTCTTTTATTATTTACTTGCGGTCTTCTTTTGCTTGTGAAAAGAAACTTTATTTTCAAGAAACATCTGTGGTATGTCCAATAAATACATTTGTTATTTCAGATGACGTCCAAAAGCTGCCGCTGCGTACATTTACATTATCTTGCAACTCTTTGGTATTTCCAGATGTGACCAAGAGTTACATTCAAAGTTTTGTTTAGAATTGTTTGTGTAAACAACGATTTATGCTGTTTTAGCCAGTGTCTTTGAAAGGGATAAAGCCTTTGATGTGTGCATTAAATAATTGTCGTTTTACTGCAATATTTCGATGAATATGGATTGTTAAATGCTGTCTGCAAAACTGAATAGGAGGTGAATACTTTTACTAAAGACTTAGAGAAAAAAATCCTTAAATACATTTAAAGTAGAATTTAGTTGCTCATTAAAGTCCAGTGGTGCATATTAGTATCTTATTTGAATATTGTGCTTCCTCTTAGTGAATATCAGGGCTTCAGTTCTGAATTGTACATAATGCCCTCAGGTCCACCATAAGTGGTATCCAAATCTTACACCTAATCAGTTTCATAAATGGCAATGTTCTGTTGGGCAGCTGTCAAGAACACAGGCCCTTTCCTTAGCACACCTTGAATAGCTGTTTGCCTGAGAATCAGCATTTGGGCTTTGTAATTTACAGCTTCCTAGTGGCATTTCGGTCCAGAGATGCTGTATGTATTTAACATAAATTTCTTTTAAGTTGTGGCTGCTTAAAAGAACAACTAATTTTGTTCCTCATTGCTTCTTACTCTCTAAGCAGAGAAGAAATGAAAAGAAATAGAGAGTAGCTTGTATGTATTTTCCAACATTGTTATGGTAGAAAATGGGGAAATTTAGAAACAAAATAACTTTGGGTTCTGTTTAATAGTTTTGGATTTTCTCTGTTTAACTTAAATATGATGACCAGGTGTGTGTGTGTGTGTGTGTTTGAGACACAGTCTTTGCTGGAGGCTGGAGTGCATTAGCACAATCAGCTCATTGCAGTTTTGAATTTTTGGGCTCAAGCAGCTGTCCTGTCTTAACCTCTCTAGTAGCTTGGACTACAGGCACAAGCCCAACTAATTTTTTAGAAAATTTTTACTTGTAGAGATGGGGAATCTCACTGTGCCTCCCAGACTGGTCTCAAGCCCCAGGCCTTGAGTGATCCTCCCACCTTAGTTTTCCAGAGTTCTGTAATTACAGGCATGAGCCACTGGGCCTGATCAGTTTTACAGATTAGATAGTTAGTTACGCTTGATCATTCACACATTTGTTTTTAGTTGATAGATTTAGGTCATTTTGCAATAGGTGTTAAAGGAGATCTTTGAATGTAAAAATTTAGATTGCTATTCTGGAACAAAATTTAATTCACTGAAAAAGTTACCTGGAAAATAATTTCAAATATGTTGCATATGTTTCACTCATTCGTACAGCTTAAAAAAGTTATATCATGTGTTTTCTTTTCATTGTCTTACGTCTACTATTTCCTTTGCAGGTAAAATATACCCAGGACCATAAACAGATGAAAGGTAGACCAAGTCAGATTTTAGATACACCTGCCATGAGACATGTTAAGGAAGCACAAAATCGTATTTCAATGGTAGGGTACAACCAGATCATTCTTCTCATGACTAAAACATGCTAAGGAATGGCCGGACCAAGTGAACTGATGGCATTACTTCACTATTAATCTGATAACTAACAAAGCATGGAAACGTGGTTGGCCTGACCTTTGTGTGTGTAGGGGGGTGTTGCATTTCTAATCACACTGAAATGTAATGGAAATATTTGGTCTAATAAAATCATTTTTCTCAGTGACTTTTTCTGGTGTGTCTTTGTTTCTAATGTGAGTATTATAAACACATCGTGTGAAAGACCTTTGTGTAGACTTCTTTCCATTTAATTTTAGACGGAATTTGTTCTGTTTGCATGTCATAAAGAATATGAAAAAAAGTGTGTTTTTAAAAGTGTGTTTTTAAAAATGTGTGTTTTTAAATTACATTATTGGATGTAATTTACCTACCATAAAGTTTGCCCATTTAAAGTGTTCAATTCAGTGGTTTCTAGTATAATTTACAGTTATACAACTATCTCCTGGTCCTAATTTCAGGATGTGAAAAAAGTATATTTTGAAATATAAGTTTTGTAATTAAATTAAAAATTGTATATATCATAACCTATAAAATTTTAAACTAATTTTACATAATGCCATTTTCATGAACGATTGTCTGGAGATAGATATTACTTTATTGCATATTGAAGGTTAAGGGATAGGAAATTTAATTTATACTTAAGTTCGTATATTTTAGGTAGTAACCAGGATTTGAGAATATGTATCTTTTACAACCTCTCACTGATAATATATATAGTTTTGTATATAATTTAAAATAGATACGAGCTATAATGATTAAAAACATTGTGAAAATATCAGCATTTGATTTCCAGTACTAAGAAACTGAAGCTTCAGACTGTGGTTTTGGAATATTTGGAAAAGATACATACATGTAGAAAATCTGCATGCAGCCAGTGCAGTGTGCACCTGTCATTTAATGAGAATGTTATGAGATAGGTGACTATCAGCAAATTTCAGCATGATGATTTTTCCTCTTCAGGTAAAATACCATGAAGATTTTGAAAAGACAAAGGGAAGAGGCTTTACTCCTGTTGTGGACGATCCTGTGACGGAGAGAGTGAGGAAGAACACGCAGGTGGTCAGTGATGCTGCCTATAAGGGGGTCCACCCTCACATCGTGGAGATGGACAGGAGACCTGGAATCATTGTTGGTAAGCCGACGGTCTTTCTCGGCCGATGTGTGTGGCCAAAAAGATCGTGCTTGCTCTAGCTTCAGAATTACCCTCTTTAGTCATCTGACTCCTCATCACATGTTGGGTGTGGTATCCAATTTAAAACAGACCACAGGTAAGGTATTTTGTATAATGTGGAATGGGATTTCTGGCATTTATCAGGTATCATCTCAAGTCTTTTCTAGCATTGGAAGTTCTGCCTTTAATACCTTGCTAGTCTTAAGAATGTCCCTCCTTGTTAAGCAAAGAAGCAGCAGAGATGTGAGTGATAACAATGGTTGAACAATTATTTTGTTTTTCTTTAGCCCGTGTGCTTGGCCAATGTGTCGTTCTGCTGACATCATGTGCATGAGTGGCAGAAATAACCATATTGCGTCTAGGTCCTTTTATCACAAATAGACATGCCAGGGGCATTCTGATGGTATTCCATAATAGTAATAGCTCACTTAAAAAATATTATTTCTGGGTTGGAATAGTTGAGAGCCATCTGAAAGTCTTGTAATTAAGAGAGCAAACTTTTATTCCGGCTGTTTATTATAGTTAGGGGAAGTTGTAGAAGGATGTTTGTTGAATGGTGGTTGAGATACCAGAAAAGATCACACTGAAGTATAATGCAGGGCTAGGAGGGATTGTTATTGATTTTTCAGTCTATATCAACAACTCAAGACTATTGTCTCCTTCAGAGCAGTTAACCTCTGAATTATGTAGTATAGTTATAGCTTGAAGAATATTTTTAGTATATGCCACGCAGTAATCTCAGTGTTAGGTTTTCTTCATCTTTAAAAGTAGGAGCTTATTTTTTGATAGTTGTGAAAGGCCATTTAGAGGTAAGTTACGTGGGGAAAGTGTAAATTTGACAAGGTAATATCTTTACAAAACCAGGGTACTAAAGTCAGAGCTTAGATGGTTATACTAAAGTGACTCTGAAAGTACTTTCCGAAGAAGGATTCCAAATATTTTTGTAGGTAATGGATAACTTTGCTGATCTGCCTGAGTTGATTACTTAAAAGGATCACATTAAGTTGGATGGTTGAGTTGTGATGTTTTCATTAAATGTGACACGAAACTAGAGTTTCATTGCTTTGTGCTAAATGGATGGAACTATCTTAAGGGATAGGGCAGGGGTTCTGATTCATCTCATTTAGGGTGGAACTGCTCAAGTCTGTACAGCTTACCTCAGGTCCTGCACACATCAGAGGCCAGGAATGATGGTGAGGTCGTTGCTAAAAACCATGAAACTGTCTAGACCTTGAGCTCTGAGAAATCAGTACTCAAAACCATTGAGGCTGAAATTATGATTTATTTTTAATTATACTTTAGGTTCTGGGGTACTTGTGCAGATCATGCAGGATTGTTGCATAGGTACACACATGGCAATGTGGTTTCCTGCCTCCATCCCCCCGTCACCTACATCTGGCATTCTCTCCATGTTATCCCTCCCTGATCTCCCCACTGTCCCCCGCTGTCCTTCCCTTGGCCCCCCACAACAGACCCCAGTGTGTGGTGTTCACCTCCCTGTGTCCCTGTGTTCTCATTGTTCAACACCTGCCTTTGAGTGAGAACACGATTGTTTTTTAAAATATGTGTAACTCTAAGTTATTTACTTGGCAATGCAGAAGTGGGCTTATTTATTCTTATTGGGAAGAACTGTTTTCCATTGAAGACTTGCCATCATTTTGTTCATAAAATAAAGTACATTTGGCCAACATTAAACTTTCCAATGAGCCAGCTTCTGTATCAGGCATGAAAATAAACATTGAGAGATTTTCTGAGTAATTCAGATTAAGCCAATTTGCGCTGCTCCTATTTTTGTTGGAGGCTCTGCTACTTCTTATGAGCTGTGTAACCTTGGCCAAGCTACTCAGTTTCTCTGTGCCTTAATTTCCTCATCTACAAATTGAGGATAAGTAAGAAACTTAAATTAATAGGTGGTAAATGAGAATTGTGCCTGGCATATGGTCAACACTACATAATATTAATTAAAAACAGATGAGCAAATTTCCAGTTCCATTTTACAAATTGTTTTTGCTCTAGCTCCATTTCTGCCCTATGTCCATAGCTAGGTTCTTATTTTCGAGTTGTTGGTACAGCAATAAACAGCTCATTTTAAGACCTGATGTTCTTTAGTTGTAGAGACTGATGAATTCAGAAGTTATTAAAAGAGGAGGAGAACAAAGTGGTTTGCATGGTCTGATCACTGACTATAGCAGGGGTCCATTGACAGCAGGAAGCTGATATTATTTCTCTTTTCATTCATATTTCCTTGCTGTGTGCCTTGCTTATAACACTTTTTAAATAAATGTATCTTATTGGATACACTTAGTTTGCACTCACAGAGTCAGAGTGAAAACCAGACTTGCCACCACTCCACATTTAAAATACTTATTTTTTTTATAGGAAGGGAGGTTTTCTGTTCAGTTTTTTAAACATAAACTTCTCAATTGTTTCCTATGAATTATTCACAAGTCCTGAATCAGAAACTATAATCAAACATTTTGCCTGTTTCAGCCTGTGGAGAGCAAGCGTGCTTGGGGATTCAGGGGGTGCTGTGGGGGATCACCTGCTGCTGCTTCAGCAAGGTCTGGCAGGACAGCTCAATGAATAGACCAGGCAACTTCAATTTGATTATAAAGATTTCTTAACAGATACTTGTGAAAGCAAGTATACTTTCATTCTCTTCTGAGGTCAGCAGCACTGTGAGTTTGCTAGTCATGTTTTCTTTTTATATCCATTCCTTTGCAAACTTTGGCTTCCCTCTTTACGGTACTGGCTTATTTTTTTTTTAATTAATTAATTATTTATTTAATTCCTTCTTGATGAATGTTGATTTCTTCCTTTTGGCAAAAGACCTCAAAGTTTGGCGCACAGACCCTGGCTCCATCTTCGACCTTGATCCCCTGGAAGACAATATTCAGTCTAGAAGTCTACATATGCTCTCTGGTATTGCTCACTTTTTAGTTCCTCCCATTTATATGGTTTTTTCCCAAAATTGAAGCCACTATGAACTATAGAGGTTCATTGTGCTGTGAAATAGAAATTTTAAAGCTGAGAATTTGGGAAACCAAAAAAAAAAGGCTCTGTTACTTTTAAATACAATTAATCATTTATGGAAAAAAAAACTTGCAAAAGAACTTTTTAATATATACTAATTAGTCTGTCCTAGATTCATTTAAATAAGCTTTTTATTAATAAGAATGCTTTTATAGAATTTCTGGGTTTACAAATGCAGTTACTCGGAATGCACTAAACTGTTGAGACAAAAGGGAGATTTGTTTCATGAAGTACTGTTACAGTATTTTAAAGGTAGATTTAAAGAATTATATATAGAACAGTTGAAAGGTTTTCTATAGGGCATCATAAATGTTTTAAAATAAATTTTCAAGTATCCTTAAAGTTTTCTTTGAGATTTTATGTAATATAAAATGAATAGTTTACATAGGAAGCATAGTTGACTTTTAACTTGCAAGTTCATAATCAAAGGCAAAAAAATGAATAGCTGGGGTATGAACGATAGCTTGATTTGACATTTCAAATTTTCTCTGACAGTTACACAGTTATGTTAAACAATAGATAGCTGTGTCATTTAGATCTGCCTCTAACCCCTGATTTCTACTCTTTATTTAGTTGTTGATGTTAATAAGATCGAATACCCAAGGCAAAGTAGGAATTCTAGTACTTTTATAGTCAATTTCATTCATCTGTTTAGCCAAATGGTGTCATTTGTTTTTCTAAAGATAAAGAAAAGGCAACAAACACTGTATACCTCGTGATAGTTTAAAGGAAAACCAGAGATTACGATTAACAGAAATTTATTAGTTTATCAATGTTTTCTTAGTCCTTGTCAATTTTCTCTCCCTTATTTGTCCTTTAAAATTGAGACTTAAAGAAGCATAAAATGTCAGTTAAGTCATTCCTGTAGTTGATGCAAGGCGTGCTGAGGTTTGGGAATAGGTGCCTAGAACTGAGATTTTGAATTATTCTTTACTAAGAGATTGTTTTTCTTCTCTGTTAAGCTTTTAAGTAATTTTTTTGTTGATTTTGCTTTTCAAGTCAATCACAGGCGTAAATATTTTCCCTCCAATATAGAAAAGGCAAGTCACTGTAGGCGACATTGGTCTCGATCTCATTCCAGCAGTACTTTTGGTACAGGTCTGGGAGACGACAGGTCAGAAGTCTCCGAGATTTACCCTAGCTTTTCATGCTGCAGTGAAATAACACGACCGTCTGATGAAGGAGGTATCAAACAACATTCACCGCTCACAAAGAAAATGGATTCACTTTTTAAGTGTGTCACAAGATTGTCTTTAACATTCTCTTCACCTCTCTTCACCTTTGCATGAACATCTAGCCTGGGTGTGTTTGAGAATTTAAAATTAAGTTCAGAAAGTTAATAGTCCTTTTTTTTTTTTTTAAAGAAAAAAAAAAACGCTACTAATTTGCATTTCTGCATGTTATTTTTTCTCGTCTTCACTATATCACAGCAGTGGATTTGTCATGACAAAAGGGTCTTGAGATTTGCTACTTGAGTCTGTTTTACTCATATAACTACTTGAGTTGTATGTGATAAGTATACATACTACACAGTCATAGTGGAAACCTGAGTTCTGCATAGTTTGTATCTGATTTCCCTTAAGGAAAAAAAATCAATCTTACAGTAATATTAGGGTACCTAAGAGGTTACAATGAATATGTATATGTTTAAATATTAATATAAACTTGCAGACAGAGTTAGATCTTACCAAAAGAAATTGGGCATAATACTCGGGATATGAGAGGATTTTTTTTTTAATTTAATATGTTTGATTGTTAATAATATTCTCTCTATTTTACATACCCACTTTTCCCCCATATCTTGTTTTCTGCATCCAGGCTGATGGATTAAGGCTAGAACGTCAATGAATTTCTTTGGGATGTTAAACTAATTTTACTTATAAAGCTGTTATTAAAGGTTAAGGCTGGAATGTTTCCTGTCCTTGCAGTTGTATTTTAGTACAGCGAGGAGGGGAAAGGACTGAAGAATATGAGAACAAAAGAAATACTGCATTTCCCTTTCAACTCAAAGGCCATATTGCTGAAACCCCAAAGGCAGGAAATTTTGAGGTTGGGCAACTCGACCTTCGTGGGGAAAAAGTAATGTGGTTGAGGAGATGATGAAGCTGTGAAAGAGTTGGTTGTTTTATTGTAGGTAAAACATACAGGAGATCTCCCCTTTTTGTGTCTGTCTGAATAGCTAATGAAGGGTTCAGTAACTTCCTGATTACTTTTTTTTTTTTTAATACAGAGTTGTGCTCTGTTGCCTAGGCTGGAGTGCAGTGGCACAATCTCAGCTCACTGTAACTTCCAACTTGTGGATTAAAGCGATTCTTTGCCTCAGTCTCCTGAGTAGCTGGGTCTACAGGTGTGTGCCACCACACCTAGCTAATTTTTATCTTTTTTTTTTTTTTGTAGAGACGAGGGTCTTGCTATGTTGCTCGTGCTGGTCTGGAACTCCTGACCTCAAGTGATCCACCCACCTCGGCCCCCCAAGTGCTGGGATTACAGGCATAAGCCACCATGCCCGGCCTCTGATTACTTTTTTTTGGATGTGAGGTCACTGATTTCTCCCCTCAGTGTCCTTCCTGGTTCTTTAGATGCAGAATAATATTGATATTTAAAGAGATAAATAAAACCCAAAGCGAATACAAGAACTAATTTTGATCAGCCTTATTTACTGTTACTCAATTCAGCATTTTGAAATTGATGTCTCTCCCAAAGGGAATGTACTAGAGAGTCTTTGTTTCATGAATGACCCTTTACTTCATGTCTGTCCTCTGCATCACGTCATTCATTCATTTAGTCACCAAATGTTTACTGACTGCTGTTTGTGCACCGGCCAAGAGCTTAGATCTGGCAGTGCACACAGCAGTGGGCAAAAGAGACATTCATCCCCTGTAAGTGGCTTAGAGGCTGTTGGGGGGCCTTGACATTTAGCAGACACTTACACAAGTAATACATAATGATGAACAGAATCAAGACTGTGAGGGGGTGGGATGGGGGCTACAATACCAGGGTGGCTCCATCTGGCCTTAATGTGAGGGAAGCCTTCCTCAGGGAAGGGGTGTTTGAGTAGAGATGCAAATGCTGATGGACATTAACGAGACCATGGGGCTTTGGGAGAAAAATGTTTCTGATAGGACAGAACATACATTGGATAGGACAGAACATACATTGGATAGGACAGAACATTGAGATGTTCAAGTGGAAGCAGCACACACGCAGTTAGAGTTTAGAAGAGGAGGCCGCAGTGGAGATCAGTTTGGAAACTGTCATCCATATCTGATTTAGGTCCTGAATGAATCTGTGTGGAGACCAGGAATTCAGAGGTCCTCTGCCTGGATGCCTCTACTCCCTCCGCACCAGCAGACTACACCCATGTCACTTGTCTCTTTGTATTCTCTCCTCCAAGGCTATAAAAACCTGCTGCTGTTCATCACCTCTTTTTCTTCTCAAGCCCACGTTTCCTCTCTCTTCTAATTATTTCTAGCAAGAGGACACTGTCCTAAGCCAAACTGAATGAGAAAATGTCTCATTGCAAGAAAGTGTAGGCAAATATTCTTGCATTTATACTAGAATTTAAGAGTAACACATGGGTAAGAGGGAATAGTCATTTTTTTTTTTTTAAAGGGGGAATTTCATACTCTTTCAAAGATGGTGGGGGAGATTTTAGATAGGCAGTGATGACTCAGTGACTGAAATAATGTAAGAAAAAGTTGGCTTTTTAATTTTAATTTTTTATTTTTTTATTATACTTTAGGTTCTGGGGTACATGTGCTGATCATGCAGGACTGTTGCATAGGTACACACGTGGCAATGTGGTTTTCTGCTTCCATTCCCCGTCACCTACATCTGGCATTTCTCCCCATGTTATCCATCCCTGACCTCCCCATCCTCCCACTGTCCCTCCCTTGCCCCCCACCACCAGACCCCAGTGTGTGATGCTCCCCTCCCTGTGCCCCTGTGTTGTCATTGTTCATCACCCACCTATGAGTGAGAACATGCGGAGTTTGATTTTCTATTCTTGTGTCAGTTTTCTGAGAATGATGGTTTCCAGATTCATCCATGTCCCTACAAAGGACAGAAACTCATCATTTTCTTTGGCTGCATAGTATTCCATCGTGTATATGTACCACATTTTCCTTGTCTAGTCTATCGTTGATGGGCATTTGGGTTGGTTTCAGGTCTTTGCTATTGTAAACAGTACCGCTATGGACATAAGTGTGCATGTGTATTTATAATAGAATGATTTATAATCCTTTGGGTATATACCCAGTAATGGGATTGTTGGGTCAAATGGAATTTCTATTTCTAGGTCCTTGAGGAAGCTCCACACTGTGTTCCACAATGGTTGAACTAGTTTACACTCGCACCAACAGTGTAAAAATGTTCCTATTTCTCTGCATCTTCTTCAGCATCTGTTGTCTCCAGATTTTTTAATGATTGCCATTCTAACTGGCATAAGATGGTATCTCAATGTGGTTTTGATTTGCATTTCTCTAATAATCAGTGATGATGAGCATTTTTTCATGTGTTTGTTGGCCTCATATATGTCTTCTTTTGAAAAGTGTTTGTTCATATCCTTTTCCCACTTTTGGATGAGTTTGTTTTTTTCTTGTAAATCTGTTTTAGTTCTTAGTAGATTCTAGATATTAGCACTTTGTCAGATGGGGAAGAGCTAACAATCCTAAATATATACACACTCAATACAGGGGCACCCAGGTACATAAAACAAGTTCTTAATGACCTACAAAAAGACTTAGACTCCCACTCAACAGTAGTAGGAGACTTTAACACTCCTCTGTCAATATTAGACAGATCGACAAGACAGAAAATTAAGAAGTATATCCAGGACTTGAACTCAGATCTGGACCAAGCAGAACCTAATAGACATCTACAGAAATCTTTACCCCAAATCCACAGAATATACATTATTCTCAGCACTGCATTGCACCTACTCTAAAATTGACCACATAATTGGAGGTAAATCATTCCTCAGCAAATTCCTAAGAATGGAAATCATAACAAACAGTTTCTCAGACCACAGAGCAATCAAATTAGAACTCAGAATGAACTAACTCAGAACTGCACAGCTTCATGGAAACTGAACAACTGGCTCCTGAATGTCGACTTGATAAACAATGAAATGAAGGCAGAAATAAAGTTGTTCTTTGAAACTAACAAGAATGAAGACACAATGTACCAGAATCTCTGGGACACATTTAAAGCAGTGTCTAGAGGGAAATTTATAGCAATAAATGCCACATGAGAAATAAATCGTATTACAGCTAGAGGCCATAATGGTAGGGTTAGTCATGTGAGCCCTTGTGTGGTGATGAGGGTTAATGAAGCCAGTGATCAACTTATCAAGAGAACTAACAGGAGGATGATTTCTACAGCAACTTTGTATGGAATTGTTTGGGGTACTGTTTGACGTGTGCTAATGAGTGCATAGTTTGAATTGGGTACCCAATGCTCAGATGACACCCTCTCTAACTACCAGAGATAAAATAGCACCTCTTTCCTAACTGTCCCTTTTCTCTGCATTTTTTCCTTCATAGCACCTGATACCACTCCAGCTATTATATACTGATTTGTGTATTTGTGTGGCTCTCTCTGCAAGCCCCACAAAATCAGAGATATTGGCTGTTTTGTTGACTGTTGTATCTCTAGCTCTTAGAATACACATTCAGCAACTATTTGGAGAGGGCATAAAATGGCCAAATGAATATTTTATAAACAAGGACCACATGCATAAATATATGTAAGTATAATTATTTTTCTAAAATAAAATTCTCTTGGGGAAGGCTTTCAAGAAGATTCTTACATTTTTGATGATGTTTTGATATGTTTCCATGACATTAAAGCATAGCTGAAAAAATATTCTAAAGTGGAAACATGTCCAGTATTTTTCTTTTTTTCTGGTAGAGAAGGAAAGAAGTCTCCATGATTTCTCAGTGGCTTTGAAATTTAGAGTCCCCTTTGAAATGTGTGCTATGCTGGGCTCTGGTGAGAAGGTGCTGATTGAGACCATAAATAGAGATATTTAGGGTGATGAAAATCGTTAGTGTTTTTAACAGTAACAGTCAGTCATATGCATTTGTTTAAATTCTATCCCAGAAATTGAAAAGAATTTTATAACAATACTTGTTAGGGGTAAGATGAAGAAAGGAAATGTTTATAAATATTTAGAAATGCTATTT